TATTGAGCATCTTTTCATGTGTCCCTGGATCTACTGTATGTCCTCCTTGGAGAAATGTCTGTTCAAGTCCTTTGCCCACTTTTTAATTGGGTTGCTTGTCTTCTTAGAGTGGAGTTGTGTAAGTTCTTTGTGTATTTTGGAGATTAAAGCCTTGTCTGAGATACTGTTGGCAAATATGTTTTCCCATATGGTTGGTTCTCTTTTTATTTTAATACTGTTTTCTTTAGTCGTATTGCACTAAATTTTAACTTTTAATCATTTAACAGGATTTTAGAGATGTGGAAGGGCTAATACAGATGTTCAGTCTGCTGTCTTGGTTGACTTCTTTCCAAAACCACATAATGTACTTGTAATGGAAATAAACACAAACAAAGAATTATCAGTATGATTCTCACGTGAGTCTATGCTCTGCCACTCATTGATGGGGTGATTGTGGGCAAGTCACATTTTCTTCAGGTGTAACATAGGGTAAAGAAATAACACAGTCCTCAGATGGCTGTAAGGAATCATCCAAGAAATGTATATAAAATATATAAAATATTTAGCCTAGTGCTGGTATGTGGTAAGCCCTCAATAAATGGTAGTTTGTTATCTTTATTATTTATCATTGAGAGTAACAAAAATATATACTTATCAATATATGATTATAAATTACTGGATATTTAAAAAACCCTATTATAATAATGCTTAGGTATACTATTACTTTTGTCACAATGGCATGGACTTCAAAAGCGGTCATGATTCTTGTGGGAGAAGGTTCTTTGCCCAACCCTGTGGTTATGTTTTAGTTTTTTCAGAAGTCAGGGAGAAGGAGTGGTAGGCAGAGATATCAATAACTAGTATAGTTAATACTTTGTCACAATAAAAATGATGGATAACTCAGTGAATGGAGTTGGAACAAATGGCCACTTCATGTCTTAGAAAAATATTCAACTGAATATCTAACTATCTTCTTAAACCAAATTAAACTTTAGGTAAATGAAAAGATTTGAATGTGTGTTTTTTGATGGTGTCATCTGACTACACTGAAGTATCAAAGAAGGTACCTTCAGTTTCTTCATATCAGTTCTATTGTTGCTGTGGTTTGAGAATGTGGCCATGAAACACTGCTTTTTGTTTACGCTGAATCCTTGGATTTCTATCACTTAAAACAGAAAAACCATGTTTATTAAACTCTTAAATGTATTTAGGTATACTTTTATTCTTTACTCTGTTCCCACTGATTTACTGTTTCTTCTTCTCTAGAGCTGAACTGTTTTAATTTCTTTCCATTTTAATATCTTTTTGAGCTAATTCCCCATTACACTTGACACAGCCTTTTAATTAAATTGACCTAGAGAAACACTGATGGGGCGATGGAAAATTATCCTGGTCTGTACATACAGGTATTCTAGTGTTTGTAAAGGTATCCCCTCCACAACCTTGCCATTTCTAATCTTATATTAATAAACCACAATGAGATACCACTTCACACTGGTAAGAATGGTTATCATAAAGAAATCAAACAACAAATGCTGGAAAGGATGTGGAGAAAAGGGAACCGTAGGGCACTGTTGGTGGGAACATAGATTGGTGCAGCCACTGTGGAAAACAGTATGGAATTTCCTCAGAAAACTAAAAATGGAACTGCCTTTTGACCTGGCAATTCCACTGGTGGGATTATACCCTAAGAATCCTGAAACACCAATTTAAAGGAACCTATGCACCCCGATTTCATAGCAGCACAATTCACAACAGCCAAGTGCTGGAAGCAACCTAAGTGCCCATCAGTAAATGAATAGATCAAAAAACATTTACGCAATGGAATATTATGCAGTGTAGTAGACCACTCTGCCTGATTTTAGGAATTGTATCTCTACCCCTTGTGGCTAAGGGTGAGAGATGACCTTTGGAATGCCAGCTGCAGGAGACAAAGCTTGTCTCTGGTAGCAAATGCTGCCTCAGTTTCCTCTCCCTGCCCCCAAAGCTTGGTCCGAAGTCAATGACAGGTAAGACCCCTCACGGGGGGGGGGTAACCTAAGCCAGACTCGATCATGTGGGAGGCCTTTATGGTAGGACTCAGGTGGCTGCAACAAAGAGCAATGGACTCTCGCTCCCCAGCTTTGACAAAGCTTGAGTTCCCATGTCTCCTGGGAGAAGTGCTTCCTGGCTCTAATCCCCTTAAGCCTGAATACCTGTTTGGGAGAGGTGCAGCTCCTTGCCTTGCTAGAGCGTGTCCTGGGGAGCAATCTGGCACCACAAAGGCTTCCTGATAAACCTGTGAAATCTGCTCTGCTAAGAGGGCTTTCATTCATATGATAAGGGTCTGAGAGGAAATGGGTATGTCTCCCAAAGTCTCTGCAACTCTCTTCCTCACAGACACTGACTCAGACTCTGAAGCCCTCAGATCTCTTTGAAATATTATCTACTGTTTGATCCTTGCCGCCCTGTATTCCTGTGTATTACAACCCAATAAAAGGCTATGGAGAAAGACGCTCGGGGCCTCTTTCTCCCCAGAGAAACTGGGCACAGCCCACTCCTCCTTCCTCCCCAAGCAGATCTCATCATGTCTCAGCCATATTTATTCATTCACGCATGTCCGTGGCACTGGGGGGGGGGGACTCGAGAGAGAAGTTGCCCCCACAATGCAGCAGAAAGAAAGAAGGAGCTCCTATTCTTTGTGACAGCATAGATGGAACTGGAGAGCATTATGCTAAGTGAAATAAGCCAGGTGGTGAGGGACAAATACCATATGATCTTACCTATAAGTGAAACCTAATCAACAGAACAAACAAGCAAGCAAAATATAACCAGAGACATTGAAAATAAAGAACAAATACCCAGTAACCAGAGGAGAGGTGGGAGGGACTAATGGGGGGAAAAGGGGAAGGGTAAAAGAAAAAGGAAAACAAAATAAGTTGGGATTATTAATCAGCCTTTTATATATTGGTTATTAAGAATCAGGCTCACTTAGAGCCTTACTTGGGTAAGCTGATAACACTGGAATTTCTAGATTTAAAACTGAAGACTAAACCAAGCTTTTAAAGTCTTTTTAGCTAGAACAAAAGGAATATGTGCAGAGAAAGCTGAGGTTCTCCTAAGACATTAGGATGCCATACTGTGATTTGTAAGGAGAGGGGTGTGCAAATGAGCTGTAATGCTAGGGATAAATTCAAGGCCAGGTGAAAAGAACACTTAGAAGGAATGAAGTAGGCAAATTCAACCAAGACAGTATTTTATAATGGTTATATGCACAGACTTTAGGCTGGGACTGCCTGAGTGTGAATCCTTTCCCTGCAGCTAATTTGTACAGAACCTTGAGCAAGTTATTTATTTATTTAATTTTATTTTTTTCACATACAAAATGTTCTTTATTTAATAAAAAAATAAGCAGGCATTATAAGAGATTAATACGTATAGTGGAATTTAGAAACAGATGTTACAATAACTATGATTAATATATTTAGGAAATTAAAAAAGTGGAAAGGTACAGCAGTGAATTCAAAGCTACTGAAAGGACCAAATAGAAATTGTAAAAATGAAAACTAAAACAATGGAATTAATAGCCCAATATATGGATTTAACCATATGTTAGACACTGTAAAGACAATTAGTAAATATAGAGAGAGTCCAGAAAAAAATGTACAGAATGAACTTCAAGAAAACAGATTGAAAATAAAGACTATTTACCAAGATAACTATATGCTGGAGTATAAAGCAAATCTTAACAAATTTCAAAAGATGGTATTTTTTAAGGATATGGTTTTTGATCTTTGTTTAACTAAAGCATGAAAGAGCAACTAAATTATACTTAGGAAATCTCCAAATAGTTGGAAGTTAAAAAAAATCAACATTAAAATGTAAAATATTTTGACTGGATAAATATGAAAGTGCAATGTGTTAATTTTAGGATACCTCTAAAAGCAATTTCTAAAGAAATGTATATCTTAAATATACATGGTAGAAAGGAAAACAGGTAAAAAATTATCTAAATACCTTGCATAAGTAGATAGAAAAGGAGCAACATATTGAACTCAAAAAAAGTAGAAGGTATGAAATAGGAAGAGCAAAAGTTGATAAAATAGCAAGTTATTTTCATTACCCTATGTTTGTTTACCTATCTGTAAAATGGGGATAATAATAGTATCTGTCTTACAGTGTTGTTATAAGGGCCAAATTAGTCACATAAAGCACATATAATAGTGCCTGGCACATGGCAATTAGAAGGGAAATTACTACATTATAATGGTAGAAAGTGTTAAGGCCGAAGAACTTAGACTGTGAATCTATTTGCAAAGTCTTCAATAGATGTCCTCAACAGGTAAGACTTTATGTAAGCCAGTTCAGTATTAATCAATATTGGTAGTTACTACCCTTTTCTTGGAGCTAACCAGTCATCTACATTTGAGCTACAATTCTGAAAAGGGAGTGGGGAGAGGCAATATTTAGGTGTGTTTGAAGAGAATCTTTAAATTGTTCATTTGAGTAGTTTTAATTCTCCACAAAGTTTCCTACTTTCTACAGTAAATTCTGGTAGGTGCTGTGCCATACAAAGATGATAAAAAAGGTCTCTACCTCCCAGGAGATTTGAAACTAATAGCATTTAAAAAGACACAGGCTGGTCTTCACTGAAGGTCACATTCGGCCGCAAGCTGCTTCAGGGCATTTTTAAGAGTTAGCAAAGTGGCAGAAGACATCAAGACCAAATCCAAAATTATGACTGTCCCTTTTGAGAGCTGTTTCCCCAACCAGAACCAGACAAGGAACTGCTGGCAAGACTACCTGGACTTCCATTGCTGTGAGAAGACAACAACTATTAAAGAGGATGATGTTTCCATGTGCAAATGGTCCACATCCCAGGTATGGGCCTCAGATGACTGCCACACAGAAGGCCCATTGCCTGGGAAGATCTGCACTGTCTGCACCCTGTCCTTCCTCTGTCCTCCATCCTTCTCACAGGAGGGTGAAGGGGGACCTGGGCACACCCCACCCTGGGATCCTGAATCATGGCTTAACTAATAATAAATATTTGTTGGAAAAGTAAAAAAAAATATATGAGCATAAATGTGGGGCTCATAATACTTACAGAAGGGCAAGAACTCATGCATGGGGTGGGAATGAGAATGAACTTGAACTTTTTCATACAGGAGACAGAACCTGAGCATTTTTAGTTGACAGTTGAAGTAGTAAGCACATTTTAAAGATAATTTTCTATGCACTTGGAATAGAATAAAGAAGTTAGGAAATGAAGGGTTTGGAAACTGCAGGGAAAATTCTGGAATTTTAAATAGTCCAGTTTGATGAAATAAATGGGTAAGAAATGATGAAAGATCTGTCTATAAAGGTAGGCTGCAGCAAGGTTGAGGAAGTTGGATTTCATTTTCGAGCAGATATTGTATAATGTATAAGATTTGAGTAAGATGGATTATTACTGGGAAGGTTACTGTAGTTATGGGTGATGGGTATATTCAAACATCATCCACAGTTCTGAATGTAAAATTAAAATAAATTTTTCATTTATAAATGATAAGGAATCTTTAATAAAACGTATGTACAAAAAACAATTCATATTTGAAAATGCTCATCAGACAGCTTCATGCCTTTTCAATGGAAGGGAAATCAGAAGGTAACCTCAATAGCTCTTCTGCTTCTTCTTGCAAAGCTTCTGCTTTTTCATGCAACAGCATCTACAATAAAAACATCAAGACATTAGAACAAAATAGGCATTGATGGAGAAATGTTAAAATTTTTTACCACCTGAATCCTTACACATCAGCAATCTAGACATTAAAAGTAATGAGATTGAAAAATAGCCATTTAAGAAAAAGCGATCATAGTAAATGAAGCTGAAGCATATAGTTAAAGCCATTTTAGCTGACTGCTACATTTGGTATACCAAAAAAAAAAAGGAACTCTAATACTCTCAAAGATTTGTTTTAATTGAAGACTGACCACTTAAAATTAGCTTTTAATCTATAAAACCTAAGACAATTTTGCAAAAATTTAATTAGAACTTGAAAATGTTATCCTTCATATACATATTTTATTATTCCTTAGAATTTAGTATGCTATCTTTTGAAAACCTACTACTTTTTCAAAGGGAAGTTTTATTCAAGTTCCTAAAACTAACATGGTTAATTTCAAAAGAAACATAATGAGCAAACAAAATATTTCTAAACATGGCACATAGTAGATATAAATGAATATTTACCAAATAATGATTTTCCCTCTATTTTTTCTAGAAACTGGAAATAAAATGTTGGTAGTTATTATAGCTGGGTTTTGTGTATATTGGGGTATTTATACTACTTCTGTTACAAAATTTTATAATAAAAAGTTCAGCAAAATCATACTGAGGGGAAAAAGTGAAAGGGAAAAATCCACTCTACCAATTTGGTATAAAGTATAGTATTACATATAATGCTTGTAATCTATATAATCTATATTGTTATATAGATTATACATAATCTATATAGAGAGAAATAGACTAAAATGTACTCAGATAAGTTTTCCAGCAGCTGAGGTAATGGTGACCATGTGAAACAAATCCCCCAATATGCCCTCTAAAAACCATACCGACCAGTAAGTAATACCCAAAACTTGTGTCAGCAATAGTTGAATGAAGAGGACACCATCTACTTTAAATTACTCATAGTTAAAAAAAATCCACCAATTTCCAACAGAGCCATTTCTTAAGCTCTCATTCCAAAGTGTTTGCAGAGATCAAGGTGGGTTTGAGAAAACAAAACAAAACACACACATGAAACAAGGAAGAGGAAAAACAGAGGGTCTCAGATTAAACAAAATCACCTTCAGATAGAGAAAGTCTACCCTAAGTACAAAAACACTGTGAAAAGAATCTCAGTGAAATGGGTAGAATAAAATATTCCCCAAAATTAACTCTACTGAATCAAGCCCTGACACAACCATGGCAGTTATCAATAGGTAATTATAGAACAATGGTCCAGGAACTAGCCTGATTTCTTTAAAGTTTGTTTCTCAGATCTAAAGCCAAGCCACAAATCACAGAGACAAACTCAACACTTGGTTAAGAAAATCCCTTTCTGCATCCTATAATAAGTGCTGCACAATCCCAGAATGCTTCGCTTTGCTGACATATACCTAGACAAGTGTTTCGAAAAAGGAAAAGTATGCTAACTTTCTTCCTTAACTCCAGCAACTTCTGCGTTCCCAAGCCATAAAAACCCATAAGCCCCACACTTGGAGTGTATTGCTTGGGAACTTATCTTGGTTTTCTCACCCTCTGAAGAACCTCAATAAATCTGACTTTGTTTTCATCAGTGTTCTTGGTCTAAATTCTTCTGTAGCTGGAGATAAAAACCCAAACTTGTTTTGACATTAGTAGATTAAAGCATTGTTTATGAGAAAGGATTTAAAGTATGTGAAACTCTAGGAGGCAGTCTTGGAAAGGCAATACCTCTAGGGGAAAGAAGGAGTGAAAGGGAGAGCTATTCTTTGGAAGCTGGGCATTGAGGGGGAAAAAGAGGGCAAAATTTAGGCACCTGTAGGAAAATTATGGAAATTAAAAAAATCAAAGAACACCACTTTTCCTTGCATTCCTCTCCCACCACAAGGCACCCATTAATGAAACTACACTGACAAAAGAGAGACTGTTGAATAGTATTCTCATTAATCACTCCAAATGGCCATCTTGGTCTAAGAGATGCAGAAGCATAAGCAGCTCTGATTATACAAGACTATCCTATAAAAAGAATAGAGAAAATGATAATCAAAGCACTTCAGCTCATAAATATTCCTGTCCTTGAAAGCAAACCATGACACTGTAACACAATATTCCAAACAGAATTAAGTAGTCTCAAATAAACACTTGGAGACATGGGGAAAAAACACATCCTTAATAAGAAGTCCAAAACTAATAACAGAAATGGACCAAAAACAGAAAAAAGTGAAACAAAAGTTGAAGCTCAGGGACAAAATACAAGAAAAAGGCAAATTATATCAGAAATAAAAACTAAATAATGAGGTGTTCAGGGAAGAATAATTTGAATAAAAACCTAATTAAGATCACTAGGGAAAAAAAGCAGGAAAACAATCAAGATAATGAACATGAGATGAAGAAAGAAGTAAAGAATCAGAGAAATTGAAGGGGAAATGGGCAAAGAAGATCCAACATGTACATAATTGGAGTTGCTAAAAAAGAAAAATAAAACCTTGGCTGGGTAGCTCAGTTAGTTAGTGTCATCCTGACATGTCAAGGTTGCGAGTTCAATTCTCAGTCAGGGCACATAAAAGAATCAATCAATGAATGCATAAATAAGTAGAACAAATCAATTTCTTGCTCTCTCTCCCCTGCTTCCTCTCTCTCTGAAGTCAATCAATAAACTAAAATTTTAAAAAAATCAAGCAATGGATCAGAATATTTAAAACTACAACCTAAGGAAGCTTCCATAAATAAAAGAATATGAAGATATACCCTAGTAAAAATATTTAAATTTAAAGCTAAAGAAAATAGCTTCATGTTTCATATATTCAAAAACAAAAAAACTCACTCATAAGGATTGGGGTGAGCAAATAAAATGGAATACAAAGAGACTCTGTGTTTCAAATGAGTAACATGACTGCCTATTTTAAAAGTAACACTTAGGCACATTATTTCAATTACATATTCTCAGACTAAAGACAAAAAGAGCTGTAAATAGATACTGAATTCCAGTTAGTAAGTTTTTTTCCTCAGCAGCCTGCTTTAACAAATCTATAATTATTTTAAAGTATTTTAGGATTCAGTAAAATAGGTAAGTATATTAATGAAAATAGGACTCAGGTTTTTCACTGTTGGAGAAAGGAACTAAAAACATGAGAAGGGGGAAGGCTACAATGAGTGTGGTGGATTAAAAATGATTAGAAATTCTCGGACACCTCTACTGACAGATTGAATTTAATTCTCCTGTTCAATGTGTGCTGGCTTTGGTGATTTACTTGTAACTAATAAAATGCAGTGGACATAATGCTGCATGATTTCCACAGCTCTACTAAAAAGAAGCTTTGCAAGTTTCCATCTTGGTTTCTTGGAATGAGACCATTCCAAGGCCTCTTGAATGCTCCCTTCTCAAAGCCCAGGAACCATGCTGCAAGAAACTCAAGCTATGTGGAAATTAAAAATACATAAATAAGAAACTCATAAAGTTTTAAAGATCATACCATATTTAATAAAAGGAGACAAAGATAATAAACTAAAAACCTCTGAACCCTTGAACTTCAACAGAGAGGAAGCAGACTGAGAAAGCTACCTAGCTGCAGACATGGGCCATTGCTTATAAAAAGAAAAGAATGGCCCTGCCTGGCATAGCTCAGTGGATTGAGCATGGGCCTGTGAACCATACGATCCTGGTTCGATTCCTGGTCGGGGCACATGCCTGAGCTGTGGGCCAGTTCCCAGCAGGGGACTCACGAGGGGCAACCAGGGATTGATGTTTCTCTCCTTCACTCCTTCCCTTCCTCTCTAAAGATAAGTAAATAAAAAATCTTAAAAAAAAAAGAAAAGAATGGACTCCTGGCCAAGACGGAGGCATAGGTGGAAATAGTGTGCCTCCTTGCACAACCAAGTTTAAAGACAACAAAGTTTTAGTAACAAAAATGGAACCAAAACACAAAAAATTGACCTGTACCGAAGTCCAATAACAACAAACTGTAAGAGGGGCAGAGTCAGTGGCTGGTGGAGCGGGGTCAGGTAGGAGAAATCAGCCCCACCAACCCAGGAGCGCAGGCAGTGGTTGGCAGATCCCAAGTGTGGGGTGGCAACAGGCAGACCCAGTGAAAGTGCAAGGTGGCAGGCTGGCTGACAGCAGTCACACATTTGTACACAGATAAACCAGGCAGAAGAGCGAGCAGTGAGACAGACTGCGCAGGTTAGGGCCCCAGTGATGGGAATGAAAGCCTAAAAGCACCAATTGGAAAAACTTTTGGGGTTGAGGTGCTGGGAGAAGCTCCCAGGCTCACAGAGAGTTTGTTGGAGAGACCCACAGGGTCCTGGAGGGTGCACAGGCCCACACACCAGGGAGCTGGCACCAGGGGGGCCCAGTTTGCTTGCGGGAAGCTGCAGATGGGACTGAAATCCTAGACAGAACATGAAACAAATGCCATTACCCCTCTCTGACCCTGCCCCCACATACAGTGTCACAACTCAGCGACTGGGTTGCCCCACCCTGGTGAACACCTGAGGCTCCACTCCTCACACTTAACAGGCATGAACAGACCAAAACATTATGGCTCAAGAAGATCTCAAAGCCCCAGAGCCCATAAATCTAAGCGAACAAGAAATTGCCAACTTGTCAGAGGCACAGTTCAAAACACTGGTGATCAGGATGCTCACAGAACTGGTTGATTTTAGCCACAAATTAGAGGAACATATGAAGGCTAAACTAATTGAAATGAAGAGAAATGCATAGGAAACCAATAGTGATGGAAGGGAAACTGGGAATCAAATCAAGGGAGTGGACCAGAAGGAAGAAAAAAAATGACCAAACAGAAAAGAATGAAGAAAGAAGATTTCAAAAATATAAGGAAATAGATAAAAAATAAAAAAAAATGTACTTGAAAAGTAACTAAATAAAATTTAATATTAAAAAAATATATAAGGAGAAGCTTAGGAACCTCCAGGACATCTTTAAACGTTCCAACATCCAAATTATAGGGGTACCGGAAGGAGAAGAGAAAGAGCAAGTGGAAAACTTATTTGAACAAATAATAAAAGAGAACTTCCCCAAACTGGCAAAGGCAATAGACTCACAGGAAATCCAGAAAGCACAGAGAGTCCCAAAGAAGTTGGACCCAAGAAGAAACACACCAAGGCACATCATAATTACATAAGCCAAGATTAAAATGAAGGAGAGACTCTTAGAAGCAGCCAGAGATAAGAGGACAGTCACCTACAAAGGAGTTCCCATCTGACTGTCAGCTGATTTCTCAAAAGAGACCTTACAGGCAAGAAGGGGCTGGAAAGAGGTATTCCAAGTCATGAAATCCAAAGACCTACATCCAAGATTGCTCTATCCAGCAAAACTCTCATTTAGAATGGAAGGACAGATAAAGTGCTTCTCAGATAAGATCAAATTCAAGGAGTTCATCATCACCAAGCCCTTATTATATGAAATGTTAAAGAGACTTATCTAAGAAAAAGAAGATAAAAATGATGAACAGTAAAAGGACATCAAACTCAAACAGACCTAAAACAAAAGCAAACTAAGAGGACAGCTAGATCAGGAGCAGAATCATAGAAATGAAGATCACATGAAGGGGTAGCAACAGGGGAGTGAGAGGAGGAGAAGGAGGGAAAAGGTACAGAAAATAAGTAGCATAGACGGTAGGTAGAAAATAGATAGGGGGAAGGGCAACAATAGTATGGGAAATATAGAATCTAAAGAACTTGTGACATGTGGTCATAAACTAAAAGGGGGGAATGGTGGGGGAGGGGATGTGCAGGGTGGAGGGGAATGAAAGGGGGGAATAGGACAACTGTAATGGCATAATCAATAAAATATATTTTAAAAAAAGAAAAAAGAAAAAAAGAAAAGAATGATTCAGATGAGGGAATTTGGAGCTAGGAAGAATCATTCTCAGAGAGCAGAACTGGCTCCTAATCAAGAATCTAGCCATATATACTTGTCTGGATATCAGATGTACCACTCATTTTCCCTCTTTTTGAATAGGACTGTGGTTATCCTATCCGTTTCACCAGTGTAGGTGGTCTATCACTTAGACTTGATTTAGAAGGGTATGGACATTGAGGTCCAGCCTGAGTTTGATTCCATAAAGAAATAAATCTTTTAGGGATGAACCTATTTTGTATGTGGGAGAAATGTAAATAATTTGCGACCAGAGGCCAAACATTAAAGATGAATGAAAATTGCTTGGCATTCCCCTCATGGAGAGATGGGGGTCTAATTCCCCTTCCTTTCAATCTGAATTGATTTTAATAGCCTTCTAGTAACCAGTTCTATACAGGAGACTACATAACTTCTGAAATTAGTTTATAAGGTTTCTTCTCTTTTCTGACTTGATTTCTCAAAATGTTTACTTTATGAACATTTCCTCTAAAAATCCAGTTGTGCCCTGGGTGGTGTGGCTCTGTCAACTGAGTGTCAGACTGTGTTCTGAAAGGTTGCCAATTTGATTCTCAGTCGGGCACGTGCCTGTGTTGTGGGCCAGGTCTAGTTGGGGGCATGTGAGAGGCTACTGATCAATGTTTCTCTCGAACATTGATGTTTCTCTCCCTCCTTTCCCCTATCTCTAAAAATAAATATAATCTTGAAAAAAAAGAAAAGAAAACCTGGTTGCCATGCAATTAGAGACCCAAGCCCCATGGAAAGAAAGCTCCACCTGAAAGCCCCAGAATAAAGGTACTTTTCATCTGCCAGTCATGTGAGTGACCCATCTTGGATATCCAATCAAGTCAAGCCTTTAGATGACTACAGTTCCACTTGAAATCTGACTGTAACTGTATGAGGTTCCAGGAAAAATACCCAGCCACACTCTTCCAGAATTCCTAATTCACAAAAAATGAATAAAATAAAATAGCTGTTTTAAGTCCCAAAGGCAGAAGACACTTAATCAAATGATCATAGTATTATCAGTACTGAAACCAACTGACACTCTCTGGCTCCTGGCACAGTGTCCCAAGGAGGACACACATCATTTCTGTGGTATTACCACAAAAAACTGCATGACCTCAATATAATTCTAAATGGTTTCCTATTTTCATTCTTACTCCCCTGTTTGCAACCTCTGACCTACTCCACTATTCAAAATCCTGCATAAAATATCAATTTTTTCTCTTTCAAGCTGTCAGTAAAGCAAAAAGGACATATCTTAGTGCATAAGGTAGAAGCAATGTATTGAGAATGACACAGAAGTGTGGGTCCCTGGATACAACACCAATTCCCCATATCAGCTATGAATTGCTTATGCTTGAACTTGTCTAATAAACTCTTAAAATTTAAAGTCACTCTTTTTGTCCATTGTTACTATAGCTCCATTTGCATTCTTTTTTAAAGATTTTTAAAATTGTTTTATTGTTGTTCAATTACAGCTGCTTGCATTTTATTTATTTATTTATTTATTTATTTATTTATTTATTTATTTATTTATTATAAGCAGGGAAGGGAGGGAGAAAGAGAGGAAGAGAACCATCATTGTGTGGTTGCTTCTCCCATGCCCCCTACTGGGGACCTGTCCTGCAACCCAGGCATGTGCCCTGAACTAGAAATGAAACCAGTGACCCTTTGGTTGGCAGCCAGCACTCAATCCACTGAGCCTCACCAGCCAGGGCTGTATTCTTAATAATATAGTCTAATTCCTCAGTCCTGGCTCTACAACTTACTTATCTTGTGTTTCCTTGGGTAAATCACTTAATTTCTTTAAAAGAAATTATTTTATTTATTTATTTATTAATTAATTCATTCACTAATTCATTCAAACATATATTAAACACCTACTCTAGGCTGAATACTGTGCTAGCTGCTATTGCAATGAAAATTCCTATAACTTCATCACTATGAACACTACACACTTCCAATCTAATAGAACAAGGTCGATTTTAGTGTCATTAAATTGAAGATAATAGTGATGGCACTTTTATAAAAATCAATGAAGATATTATAAACAGTGTGAGCACTGTTCAAAAAAGTTAGATGGAAACTTATTTTTTAGCTCATTCTGATCTGTATATAACAATAGTGTAGCAATGTAGTTTTTTAAAAAGCTAAGCAATCTCAGGCTACCAGAATAGAACTACAGTTGAAATCAAGAAGGAAATAATCCCAAACTGCTATGTAGTGGCTTTACCCACATTGAGGAGAGTAATGACACATAGGACTGCATCTAGCAAAGGGTAACTAGGACAGTACTAGGTTATTTAAAACAGTTGAAACAAACAGAAAAGAGAAACCCTTGTTGATAGTGAGAACTGTTTTTAAATATGTGAAAAACTACCACATGAATGAAGAAATAGAATAGTTTCAGAAGGTAGTATTACAATACAATGGTCAACATTATAAGAAGGCAAAATTGAGCCTCGTTATAATGGGATCCTCTTTGTGATATTGAAAGTGTCCAAAAACAGAACTATGTACTTTTTGAGGTTGTAAGCTCGTTGTCAAAAACAGAAAAACCAGATGTTGAGTGTGCTGAGGAAAGGACTTCTGTGAAAGGCTGTAAGGAGACAGAATTTAATGAATTCTATCTAGACTTCCTTGTACTTCAATGAGCTCTTAAAATTGTGTTTTTTAGGAGGTCCTTTTTCTCTTTATAGCCTTTTATCATAGCAGATATACTATTTTTATCCATATATTATGAGTTTATGCTTCTGGGTCTATTTGTTTTCATGTCTAAGGCATAAGGAGATAATAACACAAAATGTCATAAAGATTAAAAAATAGTTGGCTTACCTTTGCTGATGAAACAATTTGCTTGGCCTGGCGTCTTGATAAGTGATCAATTGTCCTTATTAGCACTTCAGGATCTGCATTAGCTAAGTGTGCTAGACTTTTATAACCTGCATTGTATAACTGTTTTGCTCGACCCTGAAAAGTATTACAAAAATCAGTAGGATCAGAATTTGGAATTTGGAAAAAATAACTGTTTTATTAAAGGGAAAAATTTCACATGCAAGAGATAGGAATACACTAAGATAATAAAGTAAACATGAAGAGATATCACATCAGAATCCTGAAAATATATTTCAAAAGATGTATTTGATTTCAGAAATTTATATGGAACCATAAACAACCCCAAATAGCTGCAGCAATTTTGAGAAAGAAAAACAAAGCAGGAGGGATAACAATACCTGATACCAAACTGTATTACAAGGCCACTGTAATCAAAACAGCCTGGTACTGGCATCAAAACAGGCACATAGACCAATGGAACAGAACAGAGAACCCAGAAATAAACCCAAGTCTCTACGGTCAATTAATATTTGACAAAGGGGGAAGAAGCATAAAATGGAGTAAAAATAGCCTCTTCAACAAATGGTATTGGGAGATCTGAACAGCTATGTACAAAAAAATGAAACTTGATCACCAACTTATATCATACACAAAAATAAATTCAAGGTGAATAAAAGACTTAAATATAAGTCATGACACCATAAACATCCTAGAAGAAAACATTGGCAGGAAAATCTCAGACATTCTAGGCAGCAACATCTTCACTGATATGTCATGTCCCCTAAAGCAAGGGACATAAAGGAAAGAATAAACAAATGGGACTGCATCAAATTAAAAAGCTCCTTCATGGCTAAAGAAAACAGCATTAAAATAAAAAGAGAACCAATTATATGGGAAAACATATTTGCCAATGATACCTCAGACAAGGGATTGATCTCCAAAATATACAAAGAACTTACATGACTCCACTCTAACAAGACAAGCAACACAATTGAAAAGTGGGCAAAGAACTTGAACAGACATTTCTCCAAGGAGGACATACAGTGGGTCTAGAGACCTATGAAAAGATGTTCAGCATCACTAGCTATCAGAGATGCAAACTAAAACCACAATGAAATACCACTTCATAACCATCAGAATGGCCACCATAAACAAATCAACAAACAAGTATTGGAGAGGATGTGGAGAAAAGGGAACCCCAGTGCACTGTTGGTGGGACTGCAGACTGGTGCAGCCACCATGAAAAACAGTATGAAATTTCCTCAGAAAAGTAAAAATGGAACTGCCTTTTGACCCAGCAATCCACTGCTGAGATTATACCCTAATAGTCCTGAAACACCAATCAAAAAGAACCTATGCACCCCAGTGTTCATAGAAGTACAATTTACAATAGCCAAGTGCTGGAAGCAACTTACATAAGTGCCCATCAGTAAATGAATGGATCAAAAAACTATGATACATTTACATAATGGAATTCTATGCAGCAGAGAGAAAGAAGGAGCTCCTATCCTTTGGGACAGTAGGGATGGAACTAGAGTGCTAGGTGAAATAAGCAAGGCAGTGAGGGACAAATACCATATGATCTCACCTTTAACTGGAACATAATTAACAAAAGAAAAAAAGCAAGCAAAATATAACCAGAGACATTGAAATTAAGAACAATCTAACAATAGCCAAAGGGGAGCGGGGAAGGGACAGTGGGGAGAAGGGTTTTCAGGAACTACTATAAAGGACACAAAGACAAAACCAAGGGGGAGGGTGGAAGCAAGGGAGGGAGGTGGGTTTGGCTGGGGTCAGGGAGAGTGGTGGGGAGAAAATGCAGACAACCGTAATTAAACGACAATAAAGTAATTTTAAAAACTCCTAAAAAAAAAAAGATGTATTTGGGTGGTTCCAATATGATTGAAAAATAGCCTCTGTGCAGCTTATATCAACTGATATGTGTTGCAATCAGCAATGAGAAATCTATTATGGCACTTAAGCTAGGGGCATTATTTCAGACCCTACTGAAAATATTCTAGTCTAGTATCCTTAAAATGTTACTATCTACTGAGGGGATTGTGGTGTGTGTGTGTGTGTTCCCAAGCAGAAAAGCTTCTCTTATTCAAGAAATGAGTAACAGAGAATAAATTTAAATTAAGGGCTGGTAAAAAGAGAAAGCTGAAAAACCAGGTGAGAATACGTTCTTCTAAGTCTCTTAAAATATGTAAGTAAGCCTTGTTACCAACTAATACTGGTACCTTAAACAAGCACGAAGTCTAAACAACAGATGGTACTTGTTTACTCAAGTGAAGGAAGGAATAGATGTTAAGGATGAGTAGAGCACACATATACTGGGAGAGCATCACCTTTCCCTATTGTTATTTGTTTATACATTTGTGCTTCCAGATTAACAGAGGATTTCTAGGAGGCCATGGCAGCAAATAATTGAAGAAACAAAAAAGATTTCCATAAGGCTGTTGTTGTCACTTACCCTGTGACAAAACTTTATGGTTAGTTGAAAACATCTCAACTGGGAAACTGGGAAGCTACTGACCTCTAAAACTCCAGTCACTTCCATGAGCGGGACTAATTCTGCCCTTACACAGTAAGTCAACTTCTTGGTAAGTTCTACCAGAAGGGCTCTATAAACCCAAAACTCCTCAAGTTCCTGCAGAACACAAAGAAATATACAGAATTTAAGTCTGGCAAGTCATTTCAAAGTTTAGTTTGCATAGTAGGGGGCTCAGAGAGGATGTTCCTTTATGTAACTTTTGGAACTTGGGTTAAGCCAGAGGTAAATAATAATTCCAAACAAAATTATTATCAGGACACAAGGCACAGACTATGTTGAATCTGATAAAGTGGTTTTGGGGATGATTAAAAAATTAAAATATAAGTCAGTAGAAGAGTTCTATTCATTTTTATTAAAATACCAGCAAGTAGATGCATAGTTTTCCTTTCCTAAATGACTGAAAACAATTCCTACTTCTGGGAATTCATCCTGAAGACAAAATATTAAATATGGAAGGATTCCAATGCAAGATGATGCTCAGTGTAAAAATACTTAATACAATAAAAGTATTGGAAGCCATGAGTCAATAATTGTTGAAGCTGGATGGGTAAATGAGTATTTATTATATTATTTTGCCTTTTTTTATATATACTTGAAATTTCCTATAACAGCAGCTTATTTTTTAAAGTCCCTTTTTAAGCTTTCAGTATTACTGTTAGAGAATGTGATGGTTGGAACAGAATTGGGTAGCCATTTTGTGATCACTAAGAAAGGAGTTAAGGCACTAAAGATGGGAGAGTGAAGTAAAGAAAAGGTAACCTTGCATATAACTATGAATCAATCACCCCTGGAACTGCCTCAGTTCTTGCTTTCCTGTTATCTAAGATCTCTTTTTTCCTATTGTTTAATTTTCAGTGGGGGTTTTTCTGTTACTTGTAGTTAAAAGCAGCTTAATTAATATACTTGGTGTCCTAGTTTTTACAACTCACATAACTATTTAAGAGAAAAAAAACTTTAATATATTGAAAACACATTCATGAGTGTACAAGTTGTCAGGTAAAATTTTCTAGGATCAACTATCCAATAATAGTAGTTGTTTTTTCAAGTTCGACATATTCTTTTAGTCAAACAATTCTACAAAGCTGAAGTTCTTATAGTCCTAATTAAAACAAAGGGATAGAATATTAGGGAAAACATCTTTAAATATGAAGACAACATAGAAAACTTAAAATACATTTTAAGGGCTTAAAGGCTAGCTTCTTGTTACTAATTTTTTTCTTCTGCTTAGCTAGCATGGGATTAGGGAATGTAAGCTAATGTTAAAAAAACAGCTTCTAATGTAGAAGGTATTTAGAAAGATAAATTTGCTAAAATAAGTATCATTCAATGCAAAGTTAAGTATTTTAGATTATTTACTCATTAGTATGTATGACAGAGTTAACTGCCATATACTCATACAGAATATGGAGATTTAAGATAGAGAAAATGAAGCAGATTTTACGTTTAAAAATAGGAGTCATGGGGGAAAAAGTTCTTTTTAAAAAATCAAGTACAAAAACAAATATGAAAAAGATATTATGCTACCCAATAATAAGAACTTAAATACAGCAAAAGTGACTTATATCATAAGTTTGTCAAAAAGTTATCTGAGTAGAAAAGTCTGGCAAGCTTTGTTGTGTTTAAGGAAATTTGTTTTGTTTTGTTTTGTTTTTTTGACTTAATTGATTATGCCATTACACTTGTTCTATTCCTCCCTTCATTCCCCTCCACCCTGCACCCCCCTGCCCCCACCATTCCCCCCTTTAGTTTATGTCCACGTGTCTCAAGTTCTTTAGATTCTATATTTCCCATATTATTCTTGCACCCCCTATTTTCTACCTACCATCTATGCTACTTATTTTCTGTACCTTCTCCCTCCTTCTCCTCCTCCCACTCCCCTGTTGCTAACCCTCCATGAGATCTTCATTTCTATGGTTCTGCTCCTGATCCAGCTGTCCTCTTAGTTTGCTTTTGTTTTAGGTGTGGTTGTTAATAACTGTGAGTTTGATGTCCTTTCACTGTTCATCTTTTTTATCTTCTTTTTCTTAGGTAAGTCCCTTTAACATTTCATATAATAAGGGCTTGGTGATGATGAACTCCTTGAATTTGATCTTATCTGAGAAGCACTTTATCTGTCCTTCCATTCTAAATGAGAGTTTTGCTGGATAGAGCAATCTTGGATGTAGGTCTTTGGATTTCATGACTTGGAATACCTCTTTCCAGCCCCTTCTTGCCTGTAAGGTCTCTTTTGAGAAATCAGCTGACAGTCAGGTTGGAACTCCTTTGTAGGTGACTGTCCCCTTAGCTCTTGCTGCTTCTAGGATTCTCTCCTTCATTTGAATCTTGGCTAATGTAATGATGATGTGCCTTGGTGTGTTACTTCTTGGGTCCACCTTCTTTGGGACTCTCTGAGCTTCCTGGATTTCCTGGAAGTCTATTTCCTTTGCCATAATGGGGAAGTTCTCCTCTATTATTTGTTCAAATAAGGTTTCCACTCATGACTGTTCCTCTTCCCTTTCTGGTACCCCTATAAGTCGGATGTTGGAACGTTTAAAGATGTCCTGGAGGTTCCTAAGCTTCTCCTTATATTTTTGAAATCTTCTTTCTTCATTCTTTTCTGTTTGGTCATTTTTTTCTTCCTTCTGGTCCACTCCCTTGATTTGATTCCCAGTTTCCTTTCCATCACTATTGGTTTCCTGTGCATTTCTCTTCATTTCAATTAGTTTAGCCTTCATATGTTCCTCTAATTTGTGGCTAAAATCAACCAGTTCTGTGAGCATCCTGATCACCAGTGTTTTGAACTGTGCCTCTGACAGGTTGGCAATTTCTTGTTCACTTAGATTTATGGGCTCTGGGGCTCTGAGTTGTTCTTGAGCCATGTTTTGATCTGTTTGCGCCTGTTACGTATGAGGAGAGGCACCTTCTGTGTTCACCAGGGCGGGGCTACCTAGGTTGCTGGGTTGTGATCCATATGTGGGGGGCGGGGTCAGAGTGGGGAAATGGCGGCTCCCTCAGCTGCCTCTCGCCGCTGAGGAGAGGCATGGTCCCGTCTCACTGCCCACTCCCTCGCTGGTCTATCTGCGCAGGAATGCTCGACCACAGTCAACCCCCTGCCCTGAGCCCTCGCTGGGTCTGCGGGTCGCTCACTGGGTCCGCCCATTGCAACCCCACGCCTGGGATCCGCACGCCTGAGTCTGTCTGACCCAGTTTTCCTGTGCAACCCTGCTCCACCAGCTGCTGGTTTTGCCCCTCTTACTGGTCAGGCTGAAGAATTTGTTGTTATCAGACTTCTGAAAAGTTCAATGTTCTGTGTTCTGGCTGTGTTTTCTGTTGCTAATATTTTGTTGTCTCTCTGTTTAAGGAAATTCTGAAAGCTTCTTTTAGTAAAGACTTAAATGAATCCATCACAAATGCATATGGCTAAAAACAAAGTTTTCTCCTTGAGTTACTTTATAAAATGAACATTTGTTGTAGAAACCTAAAGTGGCTGCCTGACTCTAGAAGCGAAAATGGTAAATTATGGAGGCAATCAAAAGAACACGAAACTAAGTAGATAACAGTAGCTGTTGGATATTGATAACATATTAATCAAACATTCACATGGGTATCACTCATGAGAAGAACACTTACAAAGAATGTATATCAGTGGAGAAATGTCATTTTAAGAGTTGATTCCAAATACCTGAAACTATTAGTGATGGTTTTAAGTACAGGGATAACTAGTGCTTTTTACTTATTCATTACATACTTTAGTTGATTTTGTCATTTTTGTATCTTTACCTTAGTATGTATATAGTATTTTTATAAATGGATAAAAACAAAATAATATTTTAAATAAATTCTGAGTGCTTTGTAATAACAGAATAAGTCAACAATGAGAAAATACTAACTGGCTTATGAGTTTAGTAATAGTTAAAATAAGAAGATGCGCAGTGTCTATCAACTATTTAATGGAATTACCTCACAGAAATGTAACACACAAGATGAGAAGGTGGCAGCTGCGGTGAGGAGACTTTGTATATATCCTCGAGGCAAATTAAATTTTTCAGACACACTCCAAATACTGGTTTCCTTGAGCAATGTATAAAGAACAAAAGACAGGTATAGTCTGTTCACAATATCCTTGTCCACCTTCTAGAAAGACACAATTAAATAAATTTATGTACTGAACCTGCTAAGAATGTACATTATATTCAAATTGGACAAAAAGTAAAGTAAACAAAACTGTGCTACAGGAGAATAAGGAAAGAATGATTCAGTAGAAATAAAACTAAGTTCTAACACATGTATGTTAGATTAATTAAAATCAATTATCATTTTTCCAAGTATAAGAAAATATGCCAAATTGTTTCCAATTTAAATTAAACTTCTTCTTATAGGGAGTGGAGTAGGATGAACTGTGTCCTACTAAAAAATGGTGTTTGGGTCCTAACCCTGGTAACTGTGAACGTGGCCTTATTTGGGAATGGGATCTTGGCAGATGTGACTACTCAAGGATCTTGAGTGGAACTCATCCTAGATTTACAGTGGGCCCTTTAGGGCTGGTTTATTTAATACAAATTATTAGAAAAATCGTCCTTGTAAGAAAAGGGGACACAGAGTGACAAGACAAGAAGGCAATGTGAAGATGGAGGCAGACATGGGAGGTATGCATCTACAAGCCCAGGAAAACCAAGGGTTGCCAGCAAGCACTGAAAGCTAGGACACAGGCAAGATGGTTTCTTTCTTAGAGCCTCTGGAAGGAACCAACCCCACTAACATTTGTTTGTAGACTTCTGGTCTCCTGAACTGTGACAGAATAAATTTTTGTTGTTTTAAGATACCCAGTTTGCACTAATTTATGAAGCAGCCCTAGCAAAGAATATAGGAGGAGAATTTTACATTTCCTGTGGTATTTATAGGTTATATATACATGTGTGAATGTGTTTATAAATTAGACAAATGCACTTATTTAGGTAAATATGTTAATAAACCTGCCTATATTATAAACTGAGTAAATATTAGACTCTATGATTTCCATATAGTCATGATAAATAATTAATGTTTCCAAAGTTAAAACACTGAAAGAGAAAAATGCTATATGTAGTTGACAATTTCTATTCTGTGTACTTGCTTTTGCCTGTGGTGTCTAGTAACTATTTTTTATGTAAAGTAATTCATAGTTAATATTAAGCTAACTTAGAAACTAAATAAACTCATGTTTCAAATAAGAGGGCAGAGGAAAAGGATGAATTTGAAAAAGTAGATATAAAATCTACAATTACGTCCTCTATTATAGTAATAGAATGTTTGAAATGAGAACTTAGACTGACATATTGAAGAATATACGAATTAGGATTCTGCATGTTGATACTGAAGCTAAAAAACACGAGAGTTAAACAAAAAGTAGAAAAAGATTGCTTTTTAATTTCCCAATTGTAGTGTATCTGTTATTAACCATAACTTCAGTCAATGTAGATTTTGCTGAAAAAGCATTTTCTAAGTCAAGAAAAATGATAAAATTATATTACAAGGTGAGATAAAATACTTTATGCCAATTTCAAGATCTTTTACAAGAAATGTTTAAAGAAAAGAGGGTATGGGTGTCCTCTTTAATGTGGAGAAATCAATTTATATTTTAGGTAAATATCATGTTCTCTAGAATTACAAATAAAGATACCTCAAACATTAAACTAGTAATTAATTCATTTGTAATTAAGAAAAATTCATGCCCAAACCATTTTAAAATATAATTATCAATTGAATAAACATTTATTGACTATACTTTATAAAATATAACAAAAATAAGTTTTGATTCAAGTTTTAAAAGATATATTATTTTAATGGAATTTTATAAATGTTTATTATTTGGTAGTAAGTTTCATATTAACATGATCTTTAAAATATGGTTTTGTGTTTATTTTATATTTGAGACTTGGTTATAAAAAGTTGAACAAATATTTTAATTCAACATTTTGAGGGTCTAAACAATATAGCCATTTCTAAGGTAAAAGACTCAATCTAAATATTGTGACAACACGAACACTGAAGTACTATATATTTATAATATCTATTTATAATTTTATGATACAGCAATACATAGGACAGTTGCATAATTCAATTGAAATGAAAGTAAACACCATCTTCTATTTTTCAAAATGAAGTCAGTAATATCTATGTAAATTAAAAAGATGTAGGGGAAATAATAGGAAGATAATTAGGTTTCAGTGAAGACTGGAGTATCAAAGAAAATTAAAAGTGAAAAACGTGTATATTATGAGGTAAAAAATGATATTAACTTAAGGAATTTGAAGACATGTTAGCCAAAGAATTATTTCCACCTCTCTTAGTGCATGCATTAGACACTTGCTTCATGCTTGTTGACTAAACTTTAAAACCCCAAACTATAAAATATCAAACAAAATAGTATTAGTTTATCCACTTTAACCTTCCAGAATATTTTATGTAGGTCAAATATTAGATTGGAAGTTCTCTGAGGACAACCAACAACACCAACAATAAAAACCCTAAACCTGTCCTATCTTAGAATCTCTGACATCAAGTAAAATGCCTAATAAAAAGTTTCTAGGAAATAAAATTTTCTCCCTTGAAGTGAATTTATTTCAGGATTAGTTAATATAAAAACATTTTATAAATATTATTTATGATTTTTATACTGTGCAGTAAGTAGGCTAGGAAAAAACAGATTAATAATGTTTACATTTCCCTATGATAAAAGCCTTACATGTACATGACAGAATATTTTAGAATACAAAGATACAAAAAAGGCCATCACACTGCCCAGAAATAGCTTTTCAAAAATGTCTAAATTTCTGGTCCTCAGATGTTCTAAATAGTAAAATAGGAATTATATTAATTTAAAGAAAACAAATATGAAATAAATACATCAAGTCAACAAGGGAGATAATACTACAACATTAATTTTGTTAAATCAACTTAGTTATTTAGGAAGGAAAAAAAAAGACTATGGTACCTTCTTGATAGCTTGACCTGATGCCTTCTTCCCAATATAGTTTTCAGAGACTCCAATAAGAGCAGCCACATTTTGTTCTGCTGGACTGAGCTGGTTAAACTACACAGAAAAAAAAGCAATTATACAGAAAAATCTAATTGTAAGTTTAAAAATACCATTTGAACCAAATCCAGTATTTCCTATATCGCATGTTCATATTTTTAAAGATTAAAAAAATGTAATTTTTAACAAAGAGAAAACTTAAAAATATTATTAAAATATAACATACTTTAGTAGAATTACTTTAAGTCACAGACACAAATCCTTTTTAATATTGGAAGACTTTGGTGGGGGAAGAGGGAATGCTTTTGAAAGTAAGTGCATTATATAGTTACAGGAATAATTTTAAAACATGACATTAGAAATAAAGCTAGTTTCCAGCAAATAAAAGCTGCATACTACTTCTGCCTAATATGTGTTCACCCATTTATTCTATTTACAATAAAATCATAATAGGCTGTATTTTACTACTTGCTTTTGTAATAAATAGGACCAGTTCTATCTTGTGATAAAATTGACATTCCTTCTCAGTTACTAATATTACTAGGTCTGGTATATCATCATTCTTGGCTCTGACAGAGCTTTTGTGTACTTATACTCTCAATCAACAGAGATGGCCTTTGTGGTTTTATCTAGATTCTAGACATTATAAAATGCAGTGGTCACCAAACCAGATGGTAACTATCTTTGGGGAAATAGAAGCAGGAATGATCCTTTTTTTCTTTTTTGTACCTTTATTTTTTTGATAATGACATATTTATATTTAACAGAAAAGTAATATTTAAGTTGAATGAACCAAAAATGCTATTGCCATATTACTATTTTAGAAACTGAAAGAACTAAAGACCCAATTTCAAATATATTTTAATAGAAAAAGTGAACAATCACTTGACAAAAATAATTTTATCACTAATAGAGTAAGTAGCCTATATTGAAGAACCTTATATGCTCACCTGTCTGAAATATATCATCCAATCAGGGTCACACTGCGAAGCCATATCATAGGGAGTGGTTAGGTAAATTAGATGAAGAAGGCTTTCAAGCACAAGGCCTTCAAGACCTTTCTTCAAATCTCTGTATAGAATGTCACAATAAGCCAAATCTATAGTTCCTAAAAGATACAAGTATTAGATAAGGTAGATAGTAAACCAAGGCAGGGACGGGGAGGGAGAGGGAGACAGGCCTCGCTCATTAACTCAGCACTCCTGAGCCTGGTCAGATGAGATTGCCAGGTATTCCAAACATCACAAGAAAAACTATGGTAGTGTAGGAGAAAGGGAGTCCTTGAAGTTCTATATGTACCTTTTCCACTAGCTGGGAAAGAAGTCTTTGGAACCATGTATTAATCCCAAGGTCTGGAAGGGTAGGAGGAAAGGGAACCTAGAAGTTCTCTACAATCATAAAAATCCTAAACCCCAACAGTTGGAGCTCTCAGACTAGCTGGGTGCCCACTTGCGGCTTTGTGCTTAAGTGTATTTCATAAATAAACTTGCCATCTTATTTCCACTGTATGTGATGCCTCTTGCTTGAATTCTTCTCTTGAGAGCAAGAGCAAGGCAAGAACTGAGGAGTGGGGGACTCTCCCAACTTGGGTCTCCCCAGTAACACAAGTATTTCACCTTTCATAATTACCAAAGGGGAAAAGAGGTGACTTTTAAAGAAAGTCTTGTTTAGAAGTTACCTAAATATAGCAAACAGTATTCAAAATCTCTTATTATGTAATTTAGCACAGCTATTTTGGAGGTCATTTTGATAGAACACATCAACATTTACTAAGTACATACATTCTGACCCAATTACTGTACTCTATTTTTGGCAATTTAACATATTTCCACATACACCCAAAATACATAACAGAGATGGCCATGCAAACTTGTTTATCATTTAAAAAACTCACAAACAGTGTATCATCAATAGGGGAATGGTTAAAGAAATTATGGCCTCCATACTATGGACAACTATAGTAAAAAAAAATGAGGTAGATTTAAAGACATTAACATGTTAAGATGTTCGTGATACTTTATAAGTGAGAAAAGCGAGCTGCTAAAACATACAGCACGGTTCCATTAAAAATAAACTATGTGGTTATACACACATAAAAATATTTGCAAGGATATGTGTATATATATACATCTCAAATTGTTAACTGTGGTAGCTACTGAGTGAAAATGGTACAGAAGTATGGGATTTTCCTTTACGTAATTCTGAGTACTAAGGATTTTTTAAATTAAATTTTTATTTTTAAAATACTTTATTTCTTTTTTTTTTTATTTTTAGAGAGAGGGGAAAGGAAGGAGAAAGAAAGGGAGAGAAACATCAATGTGTGGTTGCCTCTCACATGGCCGCCACTGGGGACCGGGCCCACAACCCAGGCATATGCCCTGACTGGGAATTGAACCTCGACTCTTTGGTTCGAAGCCCGTGCTCAATCCACTGAGCTACACCAGCCAGGGCTTTTTTAAAAAAATAATTCCCATTCTTTTTTTTTTTTTTTTAAGATTTTATTCATTTATCTTTAGAGGGGAAGGGAAGGAGAGAGGGAGAGAAATATCAATGTATGGTTGCCTCTCGTGCGTCCCCAGCTGGGAACTGGCCTACAACCCAGGCATGTGCCCTGACTGGGAATCAAACCATGATCCTCTGGTTCGCAGGCCTGCACTCAATCCATTGAGTTACACCAGCCAAGGCAGGATTTTTAAAATAACAGACAGGTGTTATTATTTTTCATTAAGTAAGTTATGAAGTTATCATTAAGAAAAAACTATCTGCTGTCATGCAACAATCTCCAAGACAATATATTAAACAAAAAAAGCAATAATCTATATTGTTTCAGAATAATATAGATGTCTGTTTATTTAAAAACAAAAGCTTTAAAAAAACCTTATACCTGTATAATCTATGTATTAAGTTTTGAAATGAAATATACAGAAACCACCTGAAAAGATATACACCAAATTGTTATTCTTGGTAGGATATCAAGATTTGTGTGATCCCTGGGGAAGGGGAGTGTGAACAAGGGATGAACATCTTTTTCTGTATATACTTCTGCAGTGCTTTTTTAAAAAAAAGACTTTGCTTATTTTTTAGAGAGAGGGGAAGGGAAGGAGAGAGAAAGGGAGAGAAATTGGCTGCCTCTCTCACATGCTTCTGACCAGGGACATGGCCCACAACCCAGGCACATGCCCTGACCAGAAATGGAACCGGTGACCTTTCAGTTTGTAGGCCTACACTCAGTCTACTGAGCCACACCAGTCAGGGCTACTTCTGCAGTATTCTAAATTACTTATAATTAAAAACATTTTAAACTTTTTAAAGTTGAAGTAGTCTAACAGTTTATAAGATTAATATATTAATATGTAGTTACAAATCCCATTTAAAGTTCAGAATAATTGAACTTCTATTTTTTCCAATGAATTTCCTCAGATTTAGATAAACTAAGATTTTCTAAAATTTTATTTGAGGTAAAATAAAATTTAGGTAAATGATTACCTTTAAAAGAAGCTCGTCCCAACTTTGTAATATGAAAACTAAACTGGAACCATTCTTCAGACTTATAAGTAGCATCTTTTTGTGTAAGTCCTTTTTCTGTAAAAATGGTGTTTTTTTGTAGGAGTCCTTTTTCTGTCAGGTATCTAAGCGATTCAACAGTTATTTCCCAGAGACTTTTTTCTTTCAGCAAAAACTTTTGCTGGACACCAAAAAAGGTACCACTCATAAAGTGATATATATCACCAAGATTTGTTGCAATCTGAAACAATTCAGGGCATCATTGAAGCATTTTCCTTAATTTGAGACATCATTTTGATTGTACATTAATTTAGATAATTCATTTCCACACCTTCATTTCAAAGGTATTTAAATTTAAAAAATTAGTCAAAAATCTATAAGTTGCATATAAAAGGTAATTTGATAATAACATTTAAAATTAACAAGAGAAACATTTTAAGGGAGAAAACAGTTATCATATTTATATTTTTATGAAAACATCACATTTTTCATGTAAAAATTCCTTATGTTTTTGAATAATTTTTCACAGTATCTCCAAAACTGTGCTCTCTTTACTTCTCAACCAATTATCACTAATTCCAGCACTGCCTCCTTTAAAAACCCTCCTTTCACCCCTTTCCAAACAATTGTGAAAGCATTCTAAAAAGTACGTTTAACAAGAAGTAAACACATGGAAAACACAGTGTTCAGACTGAACGTCTCCACTGAAACAGGATCAGACAATACTTTCTCTGATATATTACCTAAAATTAAGTGGCAGTTTTCTACCTATTTTTGGTCTCATTTCTATCTCCTTTCCCTGCCATTTTCTCTCTTCTCCTGTTATTCACCATTTAAACCTTTTAATGGCAATCATCAGTAATACTTAACCCTCCATATGGTAGTTAGATGTAGAGTTGACAATGAATTAGAATAAGTTTATATTAGGCAATTGCAATGAAATCAGCATGCTATGCTAAAATATAGCCAATCAATAGCCACACTTCTCTCTCATAATTCTGATATATTTCAACTGAAAAACTTAAATAGTCATTTTTTAATTAAACCAATATAAGGGATAACAAAAATGTTATGAAACATAGACATTTCTTATGGCTTCTCCTTTTAATGAAAATTATTCTTAATATAGTATTCAATTAGGCTAAAATTGCATTTCTAAGATATTCAAGAACTAATACTCAGTTTGTAGATTATCAGTGTAATTGGTTACTTACAGTTAACACTCGGGGTTAAAGAAAAACGTTTACTTGCTCCTTCCAGCTACCATTATGTTACCTTTCTACCTCTCTGTGAAAAACTTTTAGATATAGTGATTTACACCTACTGGGTCAGCCTCTGCCTCTGGCCTCCACAGCTTCTTAAAGCTGGATTCTCCACTGTTGCCCCAACCTGCAAGTTTGCCCATGCCCAACTCCAAAGTCAACCCATTAATTAATTCAAGAGTACTACCCACATGCACCACACTGAGATTAACGATAAGTGAAAATAAATCTGGACCCTGCTTTCATAGGGCTTACATTACAGTGGGGTACAGGCTGTGGTTCTTATAAAGTATACAACAGGCTAACTAGATCATAGGCACAGGGAGGCTTCCCTGAGGAAGCAATGGTTAAGTAAAAATCTGAAGGTGGGTGGGAGTTAAGTAGACAAAGCTATGGGTGAAAGTAGACAGCATGAAAGGTTAAGAGCACTGGTTTTGTATTTAGACAAAGCTACTTCAAACTTTGGCTTTGTCATTTTGTGGCAGAGTGACACTGGGCACAAAGTTAAAATTTATTTTGCTGAGGAATAATCCTAAAAAAGAGGTTTAACTCAAGAGCAAGCCTTAAAAAGAAAGCTAATATCTAATCTTAGGAAAATATTTTCCTGTCAGTCCTTTAAATTTTTTTTTTAAGTTTTCTGCTGATAAAGACTGTACCTATCTTACAGATGTCTAAAATATCCTAGTATGGTCACAGGACTATAGTTGAACCTTACTCTTAACAAGGACAGAGACGCCTCAGGATTCATGTCTTTGCAGCAACTTGTGTATCCAGTGTCCACCAAAGTCTCTTACTTGTAATTGATGCCCAATTATGATTTGATTTCTCATATTCCTCACAACTCAAAGATTAAAAATGCAAGTATAAATTCAGATTCAGATTTATCATGCCACAGACTGTTCTTTTCCACATCAGATTAAAGTCAATATTTTTTCATACTTTACAGTTTTCATAACTATTTAAGCTCTACTATCTAAGGTAACAGCAATAAGATTTTAAAATATTAAAAAATACCTTCAAACCAATCAATGAAAGAAACAAAGTTTGGATTCCCTTGGTGAATTCTTGAACAAGATGGCTGTAACAATTTTCCAGTGGTCTGCTTATTAACTCCAATACCTACAAAAATTAAAACAGTATTATTTTTCTGTTTATATAAAAGATAAATGGTGTTCTGTATAGAATTTTATATTTTGTGTACATCTTGTGGAGGCAGAGGAAGATAAAAAACAAAAAGACCAAAAAAAGAATTTAGCAGTTGTGCTCATAAAAATAGAAGATAAATAGAAAAATACTTTTCATTGTTTATCTGAAATACAAAAATATTCAAATTACTCTGATTCTTTTTTAAGGTTTATTTTATTCTCATCCCAGAGGGGATGGAGAGAGAAAGAGAGAAACATTGACTGGTTGCCTCCTGCATGGGCCTGGCAGGAACTGAACTCCAACCAACTGAGCCACACCAGCTAGGGCTCTAATTCTTAATCATAGAAAAGGAAACATTATTTAAAAAATTTTTTAAATGAATTTTTAAAAGATTTAATTTATTTAGTTTTAGAGAGGGAAGGGAGGGAGAAACAGAGGAAGAGAAACATCAGTGTGGTTGCCTCTCACACACCCCCTACTGGGGACATGGTTTGCAACCCTGACTGGAATGTGCCCTGACTGGAAATCGAACCAGTGACCCCTTGGTTCTCAGGCTGGCACTCAATCCACTGAGACGTAGCAGTCAGGGCAATATTAAAAATAATTTTTAAATAAGGACCCCTACAAGGCCCGGACCAAAGACCAAAAAAAGACAAAACAACCAACCAACAAACAGATTATTACCTGTTGCTTGTCGTTTTCTTGCAATATAAGGATACTCTCCCCAACAGAATCTATTCCAGCACGGCCAGCTCTGCCAATCATCTGTTTATATTGATTTCTCTTTAAAAATTCTTTAGCAACATAGGGGGCTCTCAAAATAACTCTATGTAATAGATAAAATTAATTAAAACTGAGTCTTCATCTATAGCAATAGCACCTATTTTTAAGCTCTTAGCTTTATTATATCTAAGTGATTAAATTAAATTTTAATATCTATGTGATATTAAATTTAATGACATATTAACTTAAAATAATAGATAACTGCTATTTACTGAAAATCTATGATGTCATAGAAGTTCTTTATGTACATTATGTGTAATTCTTACAATTCTATGTAATAATATTCTATTTTTTTTAAGTGGCTAATTGGCTTACCTCAACTCACAAAGTTAGTAATTACCAGAAACATAATTTGAACTTAAGTCAGTCTTGCTGTAAAGCTATGATCAATCCACTAGAGCAATAATCTTCAAAGATTTATTTTATACTCCATAAATGAAAACTCTCACTATGTACCACCAATATATGCTTATTTATTTATGAATTTATCTTACTGTCAACTATATAAAATGACAGATTTCAAATGTTTTTGACCTACAAACAGGGTGATTTCATCCTGTTCATGTATATAGAAGAAGTCTGTAATCAGCTTTCCTGTTCAAAGGTGAGAGAAAAAAATATGATATTTACCTGTACTATCAACCAACTCCTTTATTTACAAACCTCAGTGGAAAACCAAGATTAACAAACATTTGAAGTAAACTGACATAACGAAACCCCCCCCACAAGAATATAAGACAGAAGCAGGTAATATAGGGAACAGAAAAGAAAAATTCTAATAAATGTCCACAGAAAACCCTAGAGGGTATTGTATTCAATTTTTTTTAACTTAAAAAGGGCCATAAAAGAAGATAGCTCTTGGAAGTTAAAAACTTTTAAAAAATCATTTAAAAAATTCAATAGAAGAACCAAATAATGGAATGAACATAGCTAATAGAATAGTTAAAAACTAATCTTGTTATACATGAGGTCTGCCCAGAAAAAGTCCAACAATTGATAATAATGGTTTGTACAACACTGATGTAACCTGCCAGCCAAGGAGAGTGGACTGGAATGCACACATGTGAACAATGACTACTTCACTGTACTAGTCAGTGGGGGTGGTACAAACCTGTACTGTGTGGCAGTTGCATTCAAATGACTGAGTGAGTAGAGCAATACATTTGCATCGACTTTTGTGTAAAGCTTTAACATTCCTCTGTGGAAACTTTCAGATGATTCAGAAGGCTGAGCTATGGGAAACTGGTGACATGACAACATGCTGGCTCATGCATCATGTCTCATGCAGAGGTTTTTGGTGAGATATCAAATCACCTAGGTGACTTAGCCCCGCTACTGCCCAGATTTGGTGCCCTGCGACTTCTGGCTTTTCCCAAAACTAAAATCACCTTTGAAAGGGAAGAGATTTGCCCTGGCTGGTGTGGCTCAGTGGACTGAGTGCCAGCCTGAAAACCAAAGGGTCATTGGTTCAATTCCTAGTCAGGGCACATGCCTGGTTTGTGCTCCAGGTCCTCAGTCCACACACTGATGTTTCTCTGCCTCTCTTCCTTCCTCTCTGTAAAAATAAATAAGTAAAATCTAAAAAAAAAAAAAAAAAAAAAAAGAAAGAAAGAAAGGGAAGGAATTTCAGACCATCAATGAGATTCAGGAAAATATGATGGGGTAACTGATGGTGATTGGGAGAACTGGGCTGAGGTCCCAAGGTGCCTACTTTGAAGGCAACTCAGGTGTCACTGCCCTATGTACAGTGTTTATTCTATCTTGTATCTTCTTTAGCAAATGTCTCTATTTTTCATAGTAAGTGGCTGGATACTTTCTGGACAGGCCTCATAGAAAGTAAAGTTAAAGAAATTACATTGCTCAAATAGATTGGAAAATGAAATGAAAAGAGATTGAAAAGCTCAATCTACAAAGTTCCAACCCTGTGAAAATGAAGTTAGAAAAGCAGAGAACAGAGATAATGAAAGGAAACAAATGTTAAAATAACCAAAAAATTACTTTTAGATGATGAAAGGCATAAAACTTGTAATTGAAAGCATATACCCAAGTGCTAAGCTCTATAAATGAAAAGTAGCTAAAAGAGGACTATAGAAGTAGTTTCCTGAGTTCAAACACTGCCTTTGAAACTTGTTTTTTGTTGGGCATGAAGTTAGGCAAATTGTTTAATTGTTCAGCACCTTAGTTTTTCCTTCTATAAAATGTGGCTAATATAACATATGACCTTCCTCACAGAGTTGTCATGAGGATCAATTAAGTTAATATATGTAAAGCTATTATGACAGAGGAGAGGGAGTGTAATAGCTGCAATTATTATTTTAAAGTATGCAGTATGATGAAATTTTAAAGTTAAAGTGAAAAGTCTAAAAGCTTCTGGAAAGGGAAAAACAGTGGACCTACACCAAAACAAAAACAAACAACGCTGGCTCTGAAAGACTAGAAACAATACACCAAAGTCTCCATGGAAAAAATAGGAAACCTGAAATTCTAGCAAGGTGTTAAAGTATGAGGCTAAAATAAAGACATCTTCAGCTATGCAAAGACTCAGTACTTAAGCAAAGACTTCAGCTATTCTGTGGTACAGCACTTAATCAGTAATTACTCAAGAAGGCAAAAGAAAAAATGAATCACAGAATGAAGATGTGGGATACAAGAGGGAATGATAATCAAAAAGAAGCAAACAAACAAGTATGATATATAGGTAAATTTAAATAGTTACTGATTATAGAATGAAATAAAATTAAAATCTGAAATTAAAATTTTAGTCAACTGCAACATACATGCATGAGGCAGAGTACTGTAAGAGGATATACAAATGGTAAGACACATGTTCAAGAAAAGATATAATTAATAATTCTATAATGATAGAAAAACATGTTTGATTACGACTTAAAATTTTAACAGTTGGAATAACATAAGTAGATATATTACTTTGTTTTTCAAAAACTAAATCAGTAACAGAGATCGAAAATAAAAGGATGGAAAAGAATCTAGTTGGCAAAAAATATATAGTTCTAGTATTTAAAGTAAAATCACAAAGTTAGAAGGACAAGGACCTATTATATTGATAGAAGGTACAATTCGGCAGTAGCATATTTAGAGTAAACCTTTTTACACCTAAATAATTTTAAAATACAAAGCAAACACTTTTAGAAATGCAAAAAGGAGAAATAGGCAATTCCATAATTAAAGTGGGGAGATTAACACACTTCTCTGAAATTGACAGATTAAAGAATTACAAATAGTAAAAAAAGTAGAGAAGCTGACAACATAATTAATAACTGTGATCTCACTGATATAGAACACTGTACATGCAACAGAAAATACATACTTTTTAACACTCATGAATGATTTATAAAAATTGACCATTTATTCAAAAAATGTCACAAATTTTAAAGTCACAAATTACAAAGAACAGAAATCAAATATGCAGGACACAGCTTTGGTAATAACTGAAAAGGTAATCAAGGATCTACTCTAAAAAAATACTAAAATAGAAAGTCTTTATGGATGAATTCTCTAAGATTTTAAGGAAATCTCTGTGGTAAATAAACTCTTTCAGATGATAAAAAAAAATAGTGGAAAGCTTTCCAACTGTTTCTACTGAAGCAGGATAATAAACCCTGACATCAAAATCAGACAGGGATAGCACGAAAGAAAGAAGAAATTTTAATACCAGGAAAGCTATTATCTTTCATTAATATATTAAAGGAAATAAATCAAATGTTCAACTCAGCAAAAACTGAAAAAAAAAATTCTCACCCACTACCAAGAAAGAATAAAACAACAAAAGCCCTGGCAGATAGGAACTGAAAAGTTTTGAGCCTGGACAACAGCTACTTTTATCTCACCTTCGAGCTGGTAGGTTAACACCTGCTGCTAGGGTGGATGTGCAGGTTAAAAGACAGAGAACTCCAGTGGAATAGGCCTCCTCCAAGAGCTTCCTTTCATCACTCGTTAAACCACTATGGTGATAAGCAACTCCTAGTGGGATAGTGCGCTTTAAAACAGGACACAGGTTGCCACTGCTGATATCCTTCAAGTTCTTAATCATCTCCTGTTTTTCTTTTTCCCTGTGTTTCAGATATTCCCTAGGACAAAAGATCTGTTAAAAACATGAACACTGATCTTACAATGACAAAGTGCCTATAATTTTAATTTTAGTAGGTTCATGTAAATACTTTTAAAAAATATTAATTTTATTAATATAAGCACATAAAATGCTCTTAGAATTTTTATTCTGATTTCACTGGTAGGCAGTCTCTATCAACTGCTTTTTTTGTAGATAACAGAGAGCTGTGAAAACCTGATTAAAGCTAAAGGAAAAAAAAACTCATATAAACACAACACTTTGCATTTAATTTCAGAGTTCATGGACTTTCTGAAGTTCATTCCTGTACTTCCTATGAGTCCACGAACACCAGGTTTAGACCACTGTTCTAGATGTTATTATTTTTTCACTAGATATACCTTTATTAAAGATGATTTATTTTGTTCTAATAATAAATTTTCTTATGACAGAAATACATTATTAAATCATTAGTAGTATATGTAAAATACTGACTATATGGACACGAGCATTTTAGAAAATTCAATAATATCCTACAATGTCTCTGAATCTAGAAACACCTGTTATTTTAAATTCAATTAAGGAAAGAAAGTAGACTATGTAGAACTAGTTACCAATTAACTGTAAAGCAACAACTTCTAAATACCGACAGCAAACACACATCATCCAAGATATAAATATAATACACATAGCCCTGTTGTTTTGGTCTTTATGGAAGGAATAGAGCTCCTTCCATAGGAGTTGGTGTTCACTGAAGAATGCCAGTAATTTCATAAGAAGTTGAGAAATGGGAGGCAAAGAGACAAAAGAACAACAAAGAATTGGGAAGAAAGTCATCAAGTCTTAGAGCAAGAATTAGAAGGAACAGCTTATTAGGGGAGAAAAGACTTTCTGTTGCTATTTTCCAGCCAGTGAACAAGGTCCTGAAACGAATGTACAGAATGAATGCTTCTCAATGTATTAAGTCTTATAAGCAGCGAGAATATGAATAATCGGTGTATAATTTTCCAAATCAGAGAAGGGATTGTCCTAACTGACCAAATAAAATATGGTTGTATCAAGAAGGGTTGTGGGAGAAATTGAGATCTGAATGGGGTCTTGAAGAACAGGTATTAGAGAAGTGGCAACCAAGGAGCAAGAAAGTGCATTTTTGGCAGAGGGCAAAACACAATCTCAGGCTTGAAAATGGGAAGTTCGAGGCATAAACAAAGAAGAGAAGTAGTTCAGTTTGGATGAATTGCAGGGTGAATGAAAAGTAGAAGAAATAGGATGGAAAAGTAAGTTGAGTCAGATCTTGGTCTGAATTCTAAGCTAAGAAGCACTGAAGTATCATTTTTAGGGAGATTTTGTTTTAGGGAAAGTAATATTACCAGAGCTGTGGAAGTTGTCAGAAAATAGTGTTTAAAAGACAGTCTTTAGGAGACTTCCGCCAAGATGGAGGTATAGGTGGATGTGCCGTGCCTTCTCACACAACCAAGTTTAGGGACAACTAAATATTAGCAACACAAAACACAGCAAGAACACGGAAAATTGAACTTTTCGGAAGTCCGTTAACAACAAATTCTGCAGCCTGACCGGTAAGGGGCAAAACCAGTGGCTGGTGGAGCGGGATTGCACAGGAGGACTCAGTCAGACGGGCTCAGGCGCGGAATCCAGGCACAGGGTTGGACCTAGTGAGCGACCGAGCGAGTGACCAGGCGAGCGACTGCGGAGGAGACAGCAGGGAAGGGATGCTGCGTGTTGACTGAGGTCACCTATTTGTTTGCGAGCGGACTGGCGAGGGAGTGGACGGTTCGACCGGGGCCCGGCGTCCCCGCAGCGAGTGGCAGTAGAGGGCACCGCCATTTCCCCGCTCTGACCACGCCCCCACATACAGCGTCACAACCCAGCGACCTGGGAGTCCAAGGCGCCGCCGCTTCTCACACTTAAAGGGCCAGAACAGACCAAAAATGTCACAAGTTCTCAAAATCCCTGAGCCCATAGACCTAAGAGATGAAGAAATAGCAAAACTCTCAGATGCACAGTTTAAAACACTGGTCATCAGGATCCTCACAGAACTGGTTGATTATAGCCACAAATTAGAGAAACATATGAAGGCGAAACTAATTGAAATGAATGGAATTGCACAGGAAACCAATAGCGATGAAAAGGAAACTGGGACTCAAATCAATGGAGTGGACCAGAAGAAAGCAAATAATGGCCAAACAGAAAAGAGTCAGGAAGCAAGAATTCAAAGAAATGAGGAGAGTCTTAGGAACCTCCAGGACATCTTTAAACACTCCAATATCCGAATTATAGGGGTACCAGAAAGGGGAAAGGCATAGCCACCAGTGGAAAACTTATTTGAACAAATAATAAAGAAAAATTTCCCCAATCTGGCAAAGGAAATAGACTTCCAGGAAATCCAGAAAGCTCAGAGAGTCCCAAAGAAGTTGGACCCAAAAAGGAACACACCAAGGCACATCATAATTACATTAGCCAAAATTAAAATGAAGGAGAGAATCCTAGAAGCAGCAAGAGCTAAGGGGACAGTCACCTACAAAGGAGTCCCCATCAGACTGTCAGCTGATTTCTCAAAAGAGACCCTACAGTCAAGAAGGGGCTGGAAAGAGGTATTCCAAGTCATGAAATCCAAAGACCTACAACCAAGATTGCTCTATCCAGCAAAACTTTCATTTAGAATGGAAGGACAGATAAAGTGCTTCTCAGATAAGATCAAATTGAAGGAGTTCATCATCACCAAGCCCTTATTATATGAAATGTTAAAGGGACTTATCTAAGAAAAAGAAGTTAAAGAAACATGAACAGTGAAAGGACAACAAACTCACAGTTATTAACAACCACACCTAAAACAAAAGCAAACTAAGAGGACAGATAGATCAGGAGTGGAAACATGGAAATGAAGATCTCAAGGAGGGTTAGCAACAGGGGAGTGGGAGGAGGAGAAGGGGGGAGAAGGTACAGAAAATAAGTAGCATAGACAGTAGATAGAAAATAGATGGGGGGACAAGAATAGCATGGGAAATATAGAATCTAAAGGACCTGAGACACATGGTCATAAACTAAAGGGGGGTAATGGTGGGGATGGGGGGTAGGGTGGAGGGGAATGAAGGGGGGAATAGAACAACTGTAACAGCATAATCAATTAAAAAAATAAAAATTAAAAAAAAGACAGTCTTTAGATTTCAGTTATATGTGGAATCTAAAAAACAAAATAAATGAACAAGCAGACGAGAAACAAAAAACATTTTGATGGCTGCCAGATTGGAGGGGAGTCTGTGTGAAAGAGGTGAAGGGATTAAGGAAGTACAAATTGGTAAGTACAAAACAGTCACGGGGATATGAAGTAAAGCATATGGATATAGTTAATAATATTATAATAACTATGTCTAGTATCTGATGGGTACTAGTTTTACTGGAGTGATCACTTCACGAGTTATATAAATGTCTAATCATGGGGTTATGCATCTGAAACTAGTATAATATTGTACATCAATGATAGTTAAAAATAAAAATATTAAAAAATAAGACTTAAAAACAAAAGGTACTATTTATTTTTAGAGAGAGGGGAAGGGAAGGAGAAGGAGAGGAAGAGAAACACTGATGTGGAAGAAACATCTATCTATTGCCTCTTTTTTTAAAAATTTATTTTATTGATTATGCTATTACAGTTATTCCATTTCTCCCCTTCATTCCCCTCCACCCTGCACATCCTTTCCCACCCACATTCCCCACTTTAGTTTATGTCCATGTGTCTTAAGTTCTTCAGCTTCTACATTTCCCATACTACTCTTGCCCTCCCTATTTTCTACCTACCATCTATGCTACTTATTCTCTGTACCTTTTCCCCCTCTCTCCTCCTCCCACTCCTGTTGCTAACCCTCCATGTGATCTTCACTTCTGTGGTTCTGCTCCTGATCTGTTTCTGTTCCTGTTTGCTTACTTTGCTTTTGCTTTAGGTGTGAATGTTAGTAACTGAGTTTGCTGCCTTTTTATTCATATTTTTTATCTTCTTTTTCTTAGATAAGTCCCTTTAACATTTCATATAGTAAGGGCTTGGTGATGATGAACTCCTTGAACTTGACCTTATCTGAGAAGCACTTTATCTGCCCTTCCATTCTAAATGAAAGCTTTGCTGGATATGGCAATCTTGGATGTAGGTCCTTGCCTTTCATGACTTGGAATACTTCTTTCCAGCCCCTTCTTGCCTGTAAGGTCTCTTTTGAGAAATCAGCTGACAGTCTGATGGGAACTCCTTTGTAGGTGACTGTCTCCTTATCTCTTGCTATTTCTAGGAATCTCTCCTTCATTTTAATCTTGGGTAATGTAATTATGATGTGCCTTGGTGTGTTCCTCCTTGGGTCCAACTTCTTTGGGACTCTCTGAGCTTCCTGGAAGTCTATTTCCTTTGCCAGATTGGGGAAGTTCTCCTTTATTATGTATTCAAGTAAGTTTTCCACTTGTTGCTCTTCCTCTTCCCCTCTTGGTACCCCTATAATTTAGATGTTGGAATGTTTAAAGATGTCCTGGAGGTTTCTAAGCCTCTCCTCATTTTTTTGAATTCTTGTTTCTTCATGTTTTTCTGTTTGGTCATTTTTTTCTTCCTTCTGGTTCACTCCCTTGATTTGAGTCCCAGTTTCCTTTCCATCACTATTGGTTTCCTGTGCATTTCCCTTCATTTCAATTAGTTTAGCCTTCATGTGTTCCTCTAATTTGTGACTAAAATCAACCAGTTCTGTGAGCATCCTGATCACCTGATCACAGTTTTGAGCTGTGCGTCTAATAGGCTGGCTATCTCTTTGTCACTTAAAAGCATTGGTTCTGGGGCTTTGATCTGTTCTTCTGTATGAGCCTTTTTTGGGGGTCTGGTTGTGCCTGTTACGTAGTGAGGCGTGGAGCCTTCAGTGTTCACCAGTGTGGGGCAACCCAGTTGCTGGGTTTGATGCTCTATGTGGGGGCGGGGTCAGAGAGGGAACAATGGTACTTGCTCCACTCTTTAGGATTTCAGTCCCCTCTGCTGCTTTCCACAGCAAATTTGGCCCTTCTGGTGCTGGTTCCTGGGTAGGTGGGCTTGTATACATTCTGGGACCCTGTGGGTCTCTCCAACAAACTCTCCTGTCAGGCTGGGAATCTCTCCTGGCACCTCAACCCTCACAAGTGTTTTTAATTGGTGCTTTTAGGGTTTATTTCCTGTTGCTGGGGCCCTGGGTTATGCAGTCTTGCTCCCCATTTTTACCTGGTTTATCTGTGTACAAGTATGTGACTGTAGTCAGCTAGCCGCCTTGTGCACCTGACTGGGTATGCTCCTTACCTCCCTGCGCCTGGGGTCCGCCAAGCACTGATTTTTCCTGCCACGACCCCTCTTCTCTGGCCATGGACTCCGCCCCTCTTTCTGGTCTGGATGAATGGTTGTCAGGCTTCCATGCAGTTCAATTTTCTGTCAGTTCTGGTTGTTTTTTGTTTCTAAATTTTTGTTGTCCTTAATTTTGGTCATGTGAGGAGGCACAATGTGTCTACCTACACCTCCATCTTGGCCAGAAGTCCACCTCTCTTAATTAAACGCCTGACCAGGACGGAACCTGGAACTCAGGTATGTGCCCTGACTAGGAATCAAACGAGTGACCCCTTGTTTTGCAGGACAAAGCCCAACCAACTGAACCACACTGACCAGGGCAAGACATTCTTGACTAAAAGTTAAAGGGAGTAATAGCTACAAAAAAGTTAATATTCCTAAAGATGGAGACAGTCATTTGGCAATAACCTGAGGCAGTCTTTGCACTTAAATAGACATACAGCCATATTCTACTGCCCAGATGGGAAATGCATTTCCTGTACCTGCTTCCCACAAAATTTATGATAAGGAGGCAAATAATTAAGATACAAACAGGAATTTCAAGAGGTCATATTTTAAACCTAGTAATGAGATGAGAATCCATTTAAATTTCATTTCATCTACATCTAAATTACAGAATAATATAAAAAAGTATTCTTTCAATATGGTAATATTTTAGTTAGCCACAAAAAAGGGGCTAAACTATACTCAACACATTTAGCTTACCAAAGCAGCAAATAATATAAAAATATAGCATAGAGGAAATTTTCCTTTGGAAGGAAAGTGTTTACTCCTATAAGAAAGTACCAAATGTAATGGCATAATCAATAAAATAAAAAAATATATTTAAAAAAAAAAAGGAAAGTACCAAGTAACATTTACAATTCACTAACTAAGGATTCTGGAGAGGGAAATTTTTTACATGCTTCAATATTAAATATAAACATTTAAGACCCAAATAAACTATTATCATCAAAAGGCAAAATAACTCGAGGGTACAACTTATAAACTTCTTGACTCCCAGTTAATTGTTAGTCTTTATATTTCTACATTACTTAGAAAGTGCTATATATTACCTTAAATTATTCTAAGAAAATGAGCAATTTACTGAGATTGAACAAACTTCCTCAGTGATAATTTAATCTTCTCAGGCTTTTATAATCAACATCATTATTGTAAAGGCACACGACCAGTTACAAAATGAGAAAAATTTTTTGTGCTCTTCAATAAATTTAACTTGATTTTAGAGCAGTCCATGACAGTAGAATTGGAAGAAGAGGTAGAGGATGACTAGATTAGAATCCTGAGTAATGGTTTATGAATAGTGATATAGTAATGGCCTAAGGGGCCAAAAAGTAGTCTGAAAAAATGCTAAAATCACACATGGGACAAATAGGTGCAAAAAACTGAACCGTTCATATTTAAAATCACAATATATACACAGAATCTTGAAACACCAATCAGAAAGAATATATACAACCCTATGGTCTTAGTGGTGTTATCTAGAAACAGCCCAAGTGTCCATAAAAAAGATGTGGTACACTTACACAAAAAAAAATGCTATGTGGCTATATAAAAGAAAGAACTCTTACCATTTGTGACAGCATGGACTGACCTGGAGAATATTATGCAAAGTGAAATAAGTCAGTCACAGTGAGACAAATACCATATGATCCCACTCATATGTGGAATCTAATGAACAAAATAAACTGGCAAACAAAATAAAACCAGAGGCATGGATAAATGGAGCAGACTGACAGATCTCAGACGGGAGGAGGTGGAAGGGAGTGAAGAGATTAGTCAAAGAACATATGTGCATGTATGTATAACCCATGGGCACACAGACAACAATGTGATTGATAGTGGGGGGAGGGGAAGGGGAACAAAGGGGAGGAAATAGGGGCCATCTGTAATAGTGTCAACAATAATAAATAAATAAATAAATAAATAAATAAATAAATAAATAAATAAATAAATAAAATCACCCTATATTTAACTCTGAGTATAACAAAACTGATGTTAAAATACCATAAAATTACAAGGCATGCTCTGGCCGGTGTGGCTCGGTGGATAGAGTGCTGGCCTGCGAACCAAGAGGTCACTGGTTCAATTCCCAGTCAGGGCACATGCCTGGGCTGCAGGCTGGGTCCCTAGCGGGGGTCGTACTGAGGGGTCACAACCAACTGATATGTCTCTCGTACATGGATGTTTCTCTTACTCTCTTTCTCTCCCCCTTCCCTTCTCTCTAAGAAAAAAACTAAACAAAATCTTTTAAAAAGAAAGAAAATTAAGCTGAAGATATGATTTATCCCCATAGTGATTTCAGTGATTAGTCCTTTGACCATCTAAGCCAGTGGCTGACCTTGGCTGTAAGTTGTACTTGCCTGGGTTCCATACTCAGAGATTCTGATTTGTCTAGGATGCAACCTGGGCATTTTTAAAAGCCCAAGTTGATTCACAATGCAGCCAATGTTGAGAATCATCAACCATATCCACTATACTCATATTAGCATTCATTTACATGTAGTCTTAGAATTTTTCTCTATTTCACATGTGAATTTCATAGGTAAACTTTCTTCAAGGTCAAGGCCTTTTGAATCTAATACAACTTAATGTTCCATAAGAAGTAGTTAGTGCTTGTTCAATAAACAGAATAAAGAGCATGTAAATTATGACAAATATAAAACAGAACAGAATATTTTTAAAAGATTAACATACTTGCTTAAAAATCTGCATATCATTTCTGCTACGTTTTCACAGTTCTTCTTAGTGGGACAAAAAACTAAGCAGGAATAATTGGGAATAACTTCTGTCACCAGTGCTACCAAGTGATCAGGATCCATCTTTTTCAGAGTATCAGAATACTGCATAATGAGATGTAGCAACAAGGTTAGCAACCATAAAAGCCTGTAGTTTTGCCAGTGTGCTCTGGAAGGTAAGTATATCATCCATAAATTTGAATTTCTGATATAGTAAATCTGATCATTTAAAGAAAAAATGAAATCTATATTACACACCAAAATGTTATGTCTCACTTTTCTCTTAGGTTATTAGGATTTTGTTAGGTGTATCTAGTTTTTAATTAAAGAAGTGAAAATGGTAATACTATTAATAACTGCACTGCATGCCTACCTTCGCCAAAGCAGTACAAAAAAGTCCACAGACAGAAACACAGATTGACCCTAATAATAGTTAAAGGACTACATAAATAAGATATACTTTTAATAATTAGTACTAGTTTAAACAATAAAGATTCAATAAACAATTGAATAAATAATATAGATTCAATCACAGTACAGGACATTTTCAGAAATAAAAATATATTTATAAAGCAGACATAAAAAACTCAAAGAACATGAAAAATACAAAGTTATTTAAAATCTCACTTCTTCTGACTTTCTAAAACTAATTATGAATTAGAATTCGTACAATTCTAAAACTGTTGTTAAGCCGTGGCTGGTGTAGCTCAGTGGAATGAGCACGGGCCTGCGAACCAAAAGACTGTGGTTCAATTCCCAGTCAGGGCATATGCCTGGGTTGCAGGCCAGTTCCCAGCAGGGGCCAGTTCGCAGCAGGGGTTGCATGACAAGTAACCATATATTGATATTTCTCTCCATCTCTCCTTCCCTTCCCTTCTAGAGATAAATAAATATAAATCTAAAATAAATAAATATATAAAATTATTTTAAAAAAATAAATAAAACTGTTGTAAAATTCCTTTCTCCCCTTATCAATATATGTCACAGAACATTAACACAGTAGACATTAACATTTTCATACATCAATATCTGAATTAAATAGCCCATAAATGTTTCTTTTCTTTTATTGATAAATGAATGAACATTTAAGGGAGGGGTCTCCACATTTTCTTGGTTTATGGTGCTCCAAGGCCAAAAGAATTATTTTACAGTTCTATTAATTGGAGAGTTAGGTTTAAACAATTTAATAAGTATATATTTCCTTGCAACTTAGCAGCTGTCTGCATAAACAATATACATCAGCTGAATGAAAAATATGTTTATATTATTAAATAACCACAACAGCCCACTAATGGGATATGTACACAATTGCACACTGTAGTCTCTGGAACCCTGGAACTAGATTAAATATAGCTACCCTCATTTCTGGTCCACTATTGATTTTCACATGGTTTTTGCTTATAGTGACTGCAAAAAAAACCCCAAAACCCTAAAACCAAATCGCAACTTCACTAAGACATGATATGATAGAAAGGAATGTAGTGTAATCTGATGTTGAAAAAGAAAGTAACTACCTTGGACCAGTAGTTTGTATGTTGCCCAATAGATTTCAAGCATCAGAAGTTTCTCTCAAAAATCTAAAATATTCCATGGTACTCATGTAAATCTTCTGTGGCACCCCAGGGGACTTGGGCACAATGTCTGGGAACCTAGAGTTCAAGGGTTATTAATATTACCTTATAATTAAGGAGACGTGAAAATGTCATGCCAGTCTCAGCTTCACTGTCAACCTTATATATTGCATCATTTATTTTCAGATATTCTTTTAATTCAACCTTGAATTAAAGGGACAGTTGCAATTAATAACACAACAAATTCCTATTTGCAGAGTTATAAATTTCATAAAATGTGTCGTAAAAAAGTATACCTATAGGAAAATTTTAGCTTTTCTAAGGTATGTAAAAGATGCTTTAACTTAAAGTATTTTCTTTACCATTTCTTCTTTTCTAAGTCTCTTTTTCCTCTTAAATAAAAATAGGGATTAGTATCTTTAAAATATCTTTTTGAATTGAAGAGCTACATATCTAAGCAGAAACCATACATTTTCTTTTTCACAGTAATTATAGAAGAGTTAAGTGTTCATATTCTTTATCTTTTATTGGGTTATTTGTGTTATTCCTCAAGATCTAAAACTTTGTTTTATTAGTCATCAGTTTTCATTACACCTGTCACCATATTATTTTTAAATATTTGTAGACAAAAAAAGTTTATAAATATAGCTCCTTGCATTTTCAAAAGAATAGCATCTAATTAGACAATTAAGGTCATAAAATACCCTTAAATTTTCATATGTGACTCAAGTGTAAAAACATCAACTTTCAAATTAAAATTTGGTGATTCCTAAAAATCATTTTCTGAAATCCCATTCAGAGACAGAACACACACACTAGTACTACAGACAGATACATTTATTTATTTTCTTCAAGCTTTTTGGGAATACTATCATTAGGGAGTTTAACTTTAAATCTAAAGTCTAAACTTATTTTAAAAGCATTATAACTACCAAGGATAAATATTTTAAGGTAACTTTTTAATGTGCTGATAATTCAAAACATAAATCACCAAATTTTAACTGAATGAAAACTTTTACCTTAGACAACAAGAAGTGGACAACTGGAATGGGCCTGAAATTTCATTCGACAAATATTCATTTATTGACTAATTAGCCCAGCCACTGTTCCAACTGCTGCACTTACAGTTGTGACCCAGGCTAAGAGCCCTGGCCCCACAGAGTTTACATTCTCTACAAATTCTTACTAGGATATAGCCATAGTGAGTGAAATCATGGCCCTTCACTATTCTATAGAATATTTTTATATGGTACACTTGCTACTTTTATTTCTAAGTAAGATGATACATAACAAACCAACACAGTGCAAACCTCAGGTACATACTGGTCTGAACTGACTGGTGAAATAGTCTGCTTGAAGGAATTCTTGCAGGTCTTCAACATTGTTCAATGTTGCACTCATACCAATAATCTGAGTTGTTTCTAAAAAAAAACCCAAAATATTTAAACAATTTGTTATTTAGTATATTATAATAGTACTTTTAGCAACCTTTCTGTGTTGTAAATTTTTCCTGAGTGATTTGGAAAAGGGGAGGAGGGAGGTAAGGAAAATACAAATACATTAGCAGAGTATTAATATGGCAATTAAAGAATGAAACTTTTCTTATTTCCTAAAAGCTACTATCAAGAATTTTATTAAATATCAAACTTGGCAAGAAGTACGGTCTTTATTAAGAGTTCTAAACAACAATAATGAGTATAATTATGCTGGTTACTGACTATCTGGACCATCATTATGAAGAGTTATGACAGGTCCCACAGTTTTGGCTATATGTATATGCAGATGTATAGTGTACGTCACAGGGCTCAATGTGTTCTGAACTCTTGCCACATGAAAAGTCCTTTTGTGATCTTGCTATCAACTTTTCTTTATTTTAAAATAAAGGTGGAGCCCTGGCAGTTGTAGCTAAGTGGATTGAGTGCCGGCTTGCAAACCAAAAGGTTGCAGGTTCGATTCTCAGTCAGAGCACATGCCTGGGTTGGGGGTCAGGTCCCCAGGGTGGGTGCACAAGAGGCAACCACACATGGATATTTCTCTCCCTCCCTTTCTCCTTCGAGTCCCCTCTCTCTAAAAATAAATAAAATTAAAATAAAAAATAATGGTGGAGTGAAACTCATGAAGCTGCAGACTTACTTCCTGGGCATTATGAAATTTCTGCTTTCCACAGACTAGCTATTGAATAAAAAAAAAAACAAACAAACCCCAAAGGAGCCTTCTTGCCTTCTTAGCAAATGCTTCTTCACTGCTGCTGTGTTTTGCCTTGAATTTTATTGTACAACATATTATCTGAGAGAAAAATATGTGTTGTCCCTTCCTACTCCATAAGGACGGACTATGAAACTGAAGTGGTAAGCATGTTGCCAAATCAAGAAAGGCTACGCTGCCCTGGCCAGGTTGCTTAGTTGGTTGGAGGGTCATCTCATACACCGAAAGTTTCAATTTCTAGTCAGAGCACATACCTAGGTTGCAGGTTTAGTCCCCAGTAGGGGTGTGTAGGGGAGGTAACCAATCGATGTTTCTTTCTCACATTGATGTTTCTCATTATCTTTCTCTCTCCCTCCTCTCTCTCTAAAAACAAAACAAAACAAAACAAAACAAACAAACAAAACAACATATCCTCAGGTGAGGATAAAAAAAGAGAAAGAAAGAAAGACTATGAAAAAAATTTGGGATTTAGGCAGAAACAAAGGGAAACTATAAAAGAACTGTAAATGGTAAAACAGACTAATGGGTAAAAAAGGCAAAGATGAATCTTTGGTAACACCAATGTACATAATGAACATGCTTAGAATGAGGTTTCACCAAGGAGAGCAAGAAAGAATACAAAAGAGATTAATTTCATTTAAATATCTACTAAGTGTAAGTTAAGGCACTAGTGATAGAAAGACAAATATATATCAAGAGCAAACATGTGCATTATGTGCAGGTACTATGCTAGACGCTTTACAAAGATTAACTCATGCCATCTTTACAGCAGTTCAGGAAGAAGAGTCTATTACTAATCACCCATTTTTGAAGCATAAGAAAACAGAGGCATGGTTACTATGACTTGCCCAAGGCCACATATGTAGTTAAAGGTGGGCCAGAATTTGATACTTCTGGTCAAGATGGCAGCATAAGTAAACACAGCTCACCTCCTCTCACAACTACATCAAAATTACAACTAAACTACAGAACAACCATCACTGAGAACCATTAGAAATCAATTTGAATGGAAGTCTGACAACTACAGGATTAAATAAACCACATCCATCCAGACTGGTAGGAGGGGCGGAGACACGAACAGGTTGGTACCACATGCACGTGTGGTAGATAGAAATCTGGGAGGCATATCTAGTGAGCCAGGAGTCCCAGCCCCACACCAGGCCCCCAAGCCCATGGGTTCTAGTAAAAAGAAGGTAAGTCCCCACAAATTCTGGCTGCAAAACCCAGCAGAAATTGAGTCAGTAGAAGAAGCTGTGGAATCCCAAGCAGTTCCTCTTAAAGAACCCATGCATAGACTTGCTCAGACTCCCTCCCTCTGAGCTCCAGTGCCAGGGTAGCAGCTTGAAAGGCACCATTTCCATACAAGGAGGTACTGAGGGATCTGGCATCGAGGCAAGAACTGGTGGACAGCTTTCTCACAGACAGAAAGGCAGAGGCCATTGTCCCTTTTCTGAACCCTCCCCCAGAGCCACAGAGCTGGAGGGCAGGTGCCATGTCTGAGACTCTATCAACCTGGCTAACATGGTTTGCTCCATGCCGAAGATCCCCTGAGAGTCCATACCATCCAACTTAGGGACCCACCCAAGCTGTTCACAGTGATTTTTCTATGTGAATGGCTGGTCTTGGCTCATGCTTCACAACATCCTAAATCCTCTCAAACGAACAACAGCTGTTTTCAATGAGCCTCCAGCCCCCGTACCTCTTGCTAAGTGGCTGCAGGCCCTCCACCACCAGCAGCCAGTGTAGATTCACAGCTTGGCTTTGCCTAGGAATCTCTAAGCCCAGCACAAGTAGCAGCCATCTCAGCTTGCTTTATAGCTCAGTAGGGTGGCCCCAGGCAGAACACAGAGGGGGCTGACCTTGGCCTCTACCACCTAGGAAACTCCAGAGCTGCACACCCAGTGGACAGCTACACACCACATTGGAACACCACCAACCTGCCCTTGCACAACTGATTTTCCATGAAGGGTGGAGGTTGGTGGTCAGTGGTCACAGCCGGCCCTTGCAGCTGACTGGCCTGGGTAAATCCCTCTTGTTGACCTGCCAACAGCAATCTACGCCCAATGACAAGAGGAGGGTGTACTCAGCTCACACAGATGGCACACCTCGAGTATTCAGCTTGGGTGAATGGGGAGGCCATGTCTCTGGACCCTACAAAACACTTACTACATAAGGGAACACTACCAAGATAAGGAGTTAGCAGCTCTGCCTAATACATAGAAACAAACACAAGAAGCTGCTAAAATGAAAAGACAAAGAAATATGGCCCAAATGAAAAAAAAAACCCAGATCAAAGCTCCAGATGAAGAGCTAAACAAAATGGAGATAAGCAATCTATCAAATGCAGAGTTCAAAACACTGGTTATAAGGATGCTCAAGGAACTTAGTGAGGACCTCAAAAGGATAAAAAAGACCCAGTCAGGAATGAAGGATACACTGATTGAAATAAAGAACAATTTACAGGGAAACAACATTAGAGTGGATGAAGCCAAGATTAAAATCAATGTCTTGGAACACAATGAAGTAAAAAACAACTAATCAGAACAACAAGAAGAAAAAAAAACCCAAATGAGGATAGTATAAGCAGCCAGTGTGATGACTTCAAGCATTCCAACATCTGCATTTTAGGGGTGCTAGAAGAAGAGAAAGAGCAAGAAATTGAAAATCTATTTGAAAAAATAATAAAAGAAAACGTCTCCCTGACTGGCATAACTTAGTGGATTGAGCGCAGGCCTGCAAACCAGAGTATCGCAGTTCGATTCCCAGTCAGGGCACATGCCTGGGTTGCAGGCCAGTTCCCAGCAGGGGACGCATGAGAGGCAACCATACATTGATATTTCTCTCCCACTCTTTCTCCTTCCCTTCCCCTTTCTCTCTGTCAAAAAAAACACAAAAAACAAAAAAAGAAAACGTCTCTAATTTGGTGAAGGAAATAGACATGCAAGTCCAAGAAGCAAAGAGAGTCCCAAACAAGATGGATTGAAAGAGGCCCACTGAAGACACATCATAATTAAAATGCCAAAGGTTAAAGAAATAGAATCTCAAAACAGCAAGAGAAAAGCAGCTAGTTCCCTACAGGAGAGTTTCCATAAAACTGTCAGCTGATTTCTCAAAAGAAACTTTGCAGGCTAAAGGGATTGTCAAGATCCCTTTCAAAGATCCCAAGGGATATTCAAAGTCATGAAAAGCAGGGACCTATAGCCAAGATTGCTTTACCCAGTAAAGCTATCAATTAGAACGAAGGGCAGATAAAGAGCTTCCCAGATGAGAGAAAACGAAAGGAGTTCATCATCACCAAACCATTATTATATGAAATGATAAAGGGACTCATTTAAGAAAAAGATGACCAAAAGTATAAACAATAAAATGGCAATAAATACATATCTATCGACAATGGAATTTTAAAAAACAAACTAAGCAAAGAACAGAGACAGAATTATGGATACAGAGAACATTGTGATGGGTGCCAGGTGGGAGGGGGGCAAAGAGGAATGGGTGAGGAGGTGAGGGGATTGAGAAGTACAAATAGGTAGTTACAGAATAGCCATGGGGATGTAAAGTACAGTATAAGAAATGGAGTGGCCAAAGAACCTATACATATGACACATGGACATAAACAATGGTGTGAGGATTGCCTGAGGGAGTGGGGGGCCATGGGTGAAGGAGGGTAAAGGGGAAAAAACTGGGACAACTGTAATAGCATAGTCAATAAAATATAATTTTAAAAAGTGAGCCAGAATTTGAATCTAGTGCCAGAGTCTCTCCTTAGCCATTATGCTATGCTACTTTACCATGGTAACATGTGATTGCTCTTACACATAAATAGTGGGAACAAGAGAAACTGATGTGGCAGCATCCAAAGGAAAAAAGAAGATAAACAGCAAATGCTGAAGAAAAATTGTGACAAGGACAGTCAGTTGTCACTAGATTTAATGAGTAGGTGATCATTCTCGTCTTTCTCTGCTTTATATTTTCCCATAGAACTTGTCACCATTTAGCATACCATGTGTTTTCTTGATTATCTGCTCACTGTGTTTCCCTTTCACTATATATGACAGAGAACTTGTTTTATTCACTGCTGTATCCCTAGCATTGAAAATAATATCTATTGAGTACATAGCCTGGCATACACTCAATAAATATTTTTGATCGATTGATTATAAAGTGCTATAATATATCTAAATAGCATTGCTATTAAATTAAAAAATAATAATTCTAGAGATTTGACCTTCATAGTTAATAATTTTTTTCACATAGAAGCTAAGTTATTTGTACTACATATCATTAAATAGTAGAGAAGACATGTAGAGTAAATACTTCATGTACATTTAAAGACTATCAGATATTGCAAAATAGCAACTGACCACTTGCATATATTATACTGCATTACTGGTATAGTATGTGATGATGATATTGATGGTGGCGACAGCAGCAAATTCTTACTGAGTGCTACATGCACTGCTCAATGCTTTATGTGTGCTAATTCATATAATCCTCACAACAATCCCATTGTGTCAGTACCATTATTACCCCAACTTGAGAGATGAAGAAACAGAGAGGTTGAGTCACCTGTAATAAGCACATGTAGCTAGTAAGTGAAAGATAATGACAGGGACACCTTTAAATGTTAATTTCATTTACCTTCAAAATTATCCTTATTCATCTACTCTTCCAACAAAAATTTATAAGCTTGCCTTAAAAATCAAAATCTAAGGCAGAAAGCTTAAGTATCTTACTCTAGGTTACAAAATCTAGCTGGTGATAGAAATAAGACTTTTATGGAGCTTTTTAAAAGATTTTATTTATTTATTTTTAGAAAGGGGGAGGGAGAGAGGGAGAGAAGCATCAGTGTGTGGTTGCCTCTCTTGCACCCCCTACTGGGGGCCTGTCCCACAACCAAAGCATGGGCCCTGACTGGGAATCAAACCGGCAGCCCTTTAGTTCCTAGGCTGGCACTCAATCCACTGAGCCACACCAGCCAGGGTGACTTTTATAGATTTCTTGATAGTCAATTAGTCGCCAGAATTGAAAAAATACTTACTGCTAGTGTAGATGATTTTTGCTAGGGTCATTTCCAGTACAGCCCCACGGCTTCCTTCAGCAATCATGTGCAACTTTAGATATTTTAAAAAAGGGAAAAAAGTAAATCTGCATACAATGCCAATGTAAAACATGCATGTATTTATATGAAATAAAGTAATTTTACTTTATAACTCTTAAGTATTTTAGATATAAGAACTAGAGTATATATGCATTATTTCACTGATATTTTAAATTACTGAGGTTTGGGGACAACATCTTGACACATCTGGAATTCGTACATGCTATTATAAAATTGAATACACACATACTATAGATTCACTCTTCAAGAAACACTTGACATAAAATTGAATTTAAGATTATTAAACATGAGAAGTTTTCATCTGTATCATCTATATATTAAAATATTCTAATAGAGGTACTAAGCAGATCCACACAATAATAACTGTTAGTATAATAAAAATGTTAAGTTACAAAAGTAGAAACCCACCTCATCTACAACAACCAGACCCAGACTGTTAATCCTTCCAGTTTCAATCAAGGAGTTGATCAGACCATGTCCTTTTTCAATAGTGGCAATGTATAGAGATTTCTTTTCCCTTCTTTTAATTGGAGGAAATTTTCCTTTGCTTCCGGCGTATTCTTCAACAAAGAAACCCAGTTCTATACCAAAGTTTGACAAAGCTGAAATCTAGAATATTAGTTAACATAAACAAACAAAACAGATAAATAAGAACTTTAATTAGTAAACACTCACAGGGATTTAAAAAATCTAAAATATTGTGTTTAATATCAATCAATAGGAACAGGTTCACAGGTAAGACAAAAACATCTAAGAAATGTCACAGTCAGTGCTTGCTTAGGCAGGACATACACTAAAATTGTAATGCTGCAGACAAGGTTAGCATGGCTTCTGCGAAAGATGACATGTAAATCTGTGAAGCATTCCATATTTAAAAAAAAAGAAACGTCACAATTAATGTGATCTTTGCAAAATGAACACAACTGTTAAACTGCTTAATGAGAAAAATTTCAACTGTCTTTTCTGATTAAAAAGATCGTAACAACTCATTTATTTTAATAAAATAATTGAAAGCAAGCTAAATATCACTAGAACATTTATAATGGAGCCTAATCCACCAGTTCAGATCAGAAAAGATTTTCAGTTATGTACTCCATACTGCTTTTAACACATTCTAAAAATATTAATTCTCCATCATTATTAGAAATACCTCTTTTTAGTCAATAGTTACATTTATGCTAGTTTTTATATCTTACTGTCAAAATATCTTAATAACATTAGCAAATACTACTTGTTTTAAAAAATCACCTTTTCCTGGACAATTGCCACATATGGTAGGATCATTAAAACATCTTTCTGCCGGCAAAGCAGTTCTTGTAGCATTAAAATCTCAGCCACAAGGGTTTTTCCACCACTTGTTGGCAAGGAATATATTAAATTTTTTCTTTCTTGCACAGAATTCAGTGTTAAGCAAGTATGTTGCCATTCTGTGGGGGAGGGAGGAGAGAAAGCATTATTTTCCCCTAATAGTCTCAATCTTAGAAAGTTTTCTAAGGAAAAATCAGATGCTACCTTGTGTAGCAATCTCCTCATAATGATAAATGTAATTATATATCAATGTTATGTCAAAATTAAGAACAATCTAACAGTAGACAGAGGGGAGGGGAGGGGACAGTGGGGAGAAGGGTTTTCAGGAACTACTATAAAGGACACATGGACAAAACCAAGTGGGAGGGTGGAAGCAAGGGAGGGAGGTGGGTTTAGCTGGGGTGGGGGGGGAGTGGTAGGGAGAAAATGCAGACAACTGTAATTGAACAACAATAAAGTAATTAAAAGAAAAAGGAAAAGAAAATCCCCAAAGTGTTATGTGCACTGCCAGTGAGAGTCTGATTCTAATTCAGGCCTGGTTAGTGGGGTGGGCAACCAACTCTCCTACTCACTAGCTGCAAACTTAGGTCTAAAATCCCAGCAGGTCAGTGCCTGCAGGGACAATAGGTATCATCTGGAACATCAGAGGAGCTACAGGATAGTACCTGTTCTGTGTGAATTCTAAGGCTTTCCTCTTATGTTGTACAAGGAGACTGTATAAGCTTCACTTTCTCATTCAACCAAAGGCCATCTTAGAGAACCATGGGAGAAGAAGAAAAATAATGAAGTTTGTGCAAACTACAAAGTACTAACTTAGCTCTTGTTGGGAGCTGAACTTTGAAAGACCTGAATATCATTTTAAACTGACAGCTTAATCCTTAAAAGATTATTAACAGGGACATATAGGATTTCCACAATCTAGCAAGGTGGGATTCACGAAAACCACCATATCAGATCCAAGACGAAGTGTGAAAACTAGTATAACTACTGTATTTTGTCGGATAATTTGATAATGTGGATGGATCATCAGAGGTCTTCAAATTGTGTACCAGTATTTTGTCACTAGAAAAATGGGAAAATATGTTTCAACACATTTCATTGTAGAGAAACACAAATAATACATGAAAAGATGCTTAATTGTTACCTAGTGGGTTAGCAAAATACATAAAAACCAAGTAACTATCCCCCACCCTGAAAAAGGCCCATTAATATAAAATCTAGCTAACCAAAGTGGAGACAAACAGGCATTCTTGTGTGTGGCTTATGAAAGCATAACCTGCTACAATCTTTTTGGAAAGCAATTTAGCAGTTATCAAAAATAAAATTGCACATGCCCTAACTAATGTGTCTCAGTAGGTTGGGTGTTGTCCCACAAAGCCAAGGGTCACACATTTCCATTCTAATCAGGGCAAGCGCCTGGCTTACAGGTTCAGTACCCCATCAGGGGACCTATGAGAGGCAACCTATTGATGTTTCTCGCATTAATGTTTCTCTCTGTCTTTCTCCCTCCCTTCCCCTCTCTCTTAAAATAAATAAAAAATTACACTGGCAGGAAAATCTCAGATATTTCAGGCAGTAACATTCTTACTGATATGTCCCGTAGAGCAAGGGACATAAAGATAAGAATAAACAAATGGGATCTCATCAAAATTAAAAGCTTCTGCATGGCTACAGAAAACAGTATTAAAATAAAAAAAGAACCAACTGTATGGGAAAACATATTTGCCAATGGTATCTCAGACAAGGGTTTAATCTCCAAAATATACAAAGAACTTATACGACTCCACTCTAAGAAGACAAGCAACCCGATTAAAAAGTGGGCAAAGGACTTGAACAGACATTTCTCCAAGGAGGACATACAGAAGATCCAGAGACACATGAAAAGATGCTCAATATCACTAGCTATCAGAGAGATGCAAATTAAAACCACAATGAGATACCACTTTACACTAGTCAGAATGGCCATCATAAACAAAGCAACAAACAACAAATGTTGGAGAGGTTGTGAGGAAAAGGAAACCCTAGTTCACTGTTGGTGGGATTGCAGACTGGTACAACCACTGTGGAAAACAGTATGGAATTTTCTCAGAAAACTAAAAATGAATATGCCTTTTGATCCAGCAATTCCACTGCTAGGATTATATCCTAAGAACCCTGAAACACCAATCCAAAAGAACCTATGCACCCCAATGTTCATAGCAGCACAATTTACAATAGCCAAGAGTTGGAAGCAACCTAGGTGCCCATTAGTAAATGATGGATCCAAAAACTGTGGTACATTTACACGATGGAATTCTATGCAGCAGAAAGAAAGAAGGAGCTACTACCCTTTGTAACAGCATGGATGGAACTGGAAAGCATTATGCTGAGTGAAAAAAACCAGGTGGTGAAAGACAAATACTATATGATCTCACCTTTAACAGGAACCTAAACAATAAAACAAGCAAGCAAGCAAAATATAACCAAAGACAGTGAAACACAGAACAGGCTGACAGAGACCAAAGGGGAGAGGGGAGGGAATTTCAGGGGAAAAAAGGAAGAATTCACAGGAACAAGTATAAAGGACACATGGACAAAAACTAACAGGGGTGGAAATGGGAGGGAAGTGGGTACTGGGGGGTGGTGGGTGGGCTGGGATGGGAGTAAAAGACAGAAAACTGTACTTGAATACTAATTAAATTTTAAAAAATTATAAAAAAATAAACCATTTCTTTTCAGAACCCCCCCGCACATTGTATTTAATCTAGTAGCATTACTAATAATATTTCTATAACTCTATATTCATAGAAATAAAGGGGTATATAAAGGTTATGTCCAGAACGTTCATCATGGCATTGTTTATATATAACAAAAGCCATTGGGGGATAAGGGCTGAATGAATTTTTGCACAATCACATGATGTAATTCTTTACAGCTTGATACCAGGGGAATAGATTCATTTCTATATGCTCAATATACAGATAAGTGAAAAAAAAGCAGTTTATAAATGTGTTGGATAGTATCATATCAATAATGTACAGATATTATTAAATAATACCTGAATTAAAAAATGGGCTTTAATGTGTTGTTTTCCCCCAAATTAAAGAAATGGTTGACAGGATATACTACAAAGGTATTAAAAATAATTATATATAAATGACAGTTACAGGTGACTTATTGTGCATTTTTTATGGTTCTCGAATATTTGCAAGTGACTATGTACTGTTTTTTGAATATTTCAGAAAAAGACTGAAAGATTTTCAAAATTCCTTAAATACTTAAATATTAAAAAGTACTTCAGATTGGTATCACCCATTAGTTACCAAACTGCAGATGTTTGTGGGAAAATACAACTTGACCATATCTACATTTTATACAACTCAGATTCAAAATATAAAATGGCCAAAATAACAAATATTAGGGGTATTATCTTCAAACATTAAAAAAGTAAATTACTGTATAATGTGCACTTTTTTGCCCAAATTTTTGAGGGAAAGATAAGGGTGTGCATTATACATGGGTAGTACTAATTCTGTATGTTTTCAATTCTTTTATTTATACTTATACATTAACAATGTAATTCTAGAAATAACAATATCTGAATACAAAAAAAACCCCTGGAATATAATAATCGGTATTGTTCTAAATATAAATAAATGAATGAATGAATGAAAAATTAAAATGATTTTTCCCTGAAAGTTTAGGCCAAAAACAGAAGTGCCCATTATACATGGCAACATATGGTAACTTAGTTCTTATTTATATAACACACACTAAGCATGTAATCCAACAATAAAAAATCACCACACTACAAGGGTGGGCAAAAGTAGGTTTGAGTATGGGAATAATCATGAGTACACAAGAGATTCTTGCATTATTAACTAGTATATCACTTATTTGTATTGCAACTGTAAACCTACTTTTGCCCAATCCTGTATAAAGTTGAGGTTCTCTAGTTCAGGGGTTCTCAAACTTCTGTCTCATCAGAATGTGCTGGAGGGCTTGTTAAAGCAGTTTGCCAGTTCCACTCTCAGAGGTTCTGATTCAGTAGGTCTGGGATAAGGCCCGAGAATGCACATTTCAACAAGTTTCCAGGTGATGTTGATGCTGGGGTCCAAGAACCACACTTTGAGAACCACTGCTTTAGCACATATAATTATATTTCAAAATGGTCACATCATTAAGCTAAATTTACAAGAAGAGATTTAAAAAGTTACTTACCAAAGTTCATACTTCAAAGCTACTAATTACTATAGCCATTACCAAAATCTAATTTGGCATGTCCTTGACAAAGAATTTGAAAAAGAACTATTATTAATGCTATTACCATCAGCATCCCTTTGTAATAGCTCAGAAACTAAGGCTCAGTGTGTTAAACTTGTGTTTAACTGACAGGACCAGAATTCCTAAGTAGGTGGACAACCCCCAGCAGTTGAGAAACATAAAAAGATGAATTAGATAGAGCCCTGTGCTTAGGGTGCTCATTCTGGTAGAAGATGCAGAGTAAACAAAGAACAAGGTGATGGGAGAAAAGCAAAGAGAAAAAAGGGTAACATCTCCAAGAGCAATACACACCATTAGCTCTTAAACTACAAACCTTACAATTTCGAATTTATTAGACTCTTGTAGAGTCTTACATTAGACTTGTCTTAAGTAGTCCTACTTCTCCAACTTAATTGTCTTCTCTCTGAGCTGAGAACCCATGTTTTCATATGGTTCTTGAGATACTAACATAAATTTCAGAAATTCTTATCAAGTGACTGGTTGACAGGATGATCTTCCAGAATGGCAGAAATTGTACCCTTTGTGTCCAAAATGATGCGTATTTGAAATATAGGCAAGAATCTAGAATTTTGAAAAAAAAATTACACAATAGTTACTAATATTCTTTGCACTTAAATGTTAACTTCAGCTGTTTTAAAGGTGTATAGCTCTAATCAGTGGTATTCCTAATAAAGACTTCATTCAGTCAAAATGTCTCAGTAATTATAGAAATTTCAATGACTAAGTTTTGGTAGAGAAGACACAGGCAGTCACATAAACACCGGCTAACAAAACTCAACAGCTAGGCAATCAAAGAAAGAACCAGGAGAGGTATGACAAGAAATAAGGAAGTATTTCAAAAACAGTCTGGTCAATTGTTGTCACGTAAGCTACTGAGCAGTCAGGAAAGGTAAGAATAAGGTATTTTGGGGTTTAGACACCCTAGTTTAGAGGTGTCAAACTCATTTTCACCAGGGGCCACACTAGCCTCGTGGTTGCCTTCAAAGGGCTTAATGTAATTTCAACTCATTAACAGTTAGGGAGTAGTTATATTTATATAGTCCTAAAATTATTTCCCTTTGAAGGCAACCATGAGACTGATGTGGCCCCCTAATGAAAATGAGTTTGACACTTCTGCCCTAATCATTTTATCTTAAGTACACAAAACCCAGAGTTGGAGTGGGTTGGGAATTATTTGAGGTGAGAATAAGGAGATGGCAAGGATAACAGGTTTGAGAACTGTGACCACAAAGGGAAGGAAAGAGGTTCAGCACAGGGATAGGTTGAGAGGCGATTGAAACTTTGTTTTTAAGATGTGATACATGACCATGGAAGGATCTGTTTTCTATTGATTTGCACTAATACGATGGTAATGGTGGCAAAATCTTTTTCATTTCAGCAAAAAGCATTACCATATAATTTTTCAATTCCCTTGAACTGAACATAAAGGTCTCTCACTTTGCTGGGTAATGAATAAAAAGGACCAAGATCATCTGAAGATGACTCAATTGTTTTCTTAGCAATATTGATTTCTTCAGATAGGAGGTTCTCTTTGAGCTGCTTAGTCCTCGAAAATATTGGTGTTTGGGCCTTTGCATTTCCAGTCATGGTACTTTTTAGAAGATCTTTAAGGCTTTTTCTCCTATTCATATCTGAACTAGTTCTGACTTTAGAAGAGGATTCATCAATTTGCTGGGGTTGCTCTATGCTATTATGGGGCAATTCCTCATTCACAGTCTTGTGAGAGAATGGGTTCCAATCCTTCTCTTTAGTAGACTGATCACACAAATCATTTGAAGAGTTCTGCAAATTTTCAAAGTATAAAACCTGTGAAGAAGGCAATTCATACAAAAGATCAGCTCCAGGTTCAACAGAGACATCTTTGTGCCCATTCTGGTTCTTTGTGTGCTCATGTGTTTTTAATTCAATAAAGCTGCCTACAGTAGTAATACTGAGTTTGTTATGTTTGATGCTTTCTGAACAAAGATCTGTAGTGGCAAGGTCTGCACTGTGTTTCCTATTTTCAGAAAGTTGCATATATTTTTGTTCCAGGTCATCAACTTGAGCTAAGAAAGAATTTTCAGCAAAGCTATCATAGTCGCCAAACATGTCCTCTTCACTATCATGATTCTAGAAAGAAAACAAAACAATTTATAATCAATTCTAGCTTCATTAAGCATAAAACTTTCAGCCTAGAGCTATACCAGGTTTTTAAGTAAATGGTCACATACGAATCATAGATCTAAATGTAAATCATCATATGAAATAGGTACTATCACCCCCACTTTACAGATGAAGAAATGGAGGCCTAGAGAGGGTAAGTGACTTGCCTAAACTGCACTCCTGGAGTATAATGATGCTGGGATCCTAATTCTTAAGTCAATGCCAAATCCTTAAAGAGGCAGGTAGCAAGACTGGTAGACATCTATGGGGATGTCATCTTACTAGAAGTTCCCATACTGCACTAACTCTCCCCTCCCAGGTTCCAATCTAGAGAGTGGCCTGTAACAAAACCATGCTTGTATTACTGGACACTCCAAGGAGATTGTCCCTAGGAATTTGGAATCGAGAGGGAGAGTCTGTATACTGACTTAAGGTCGTCTACTAAATAGAAGAGATGTAAACTCAGAGGTAGCAATATAGTGCAGTGATTAAAAACAGGATTTGGAGTCAGAACTGTATGTAGTTTAACCTCTCAGGGCCTGATTTCTGTTGTAAAATCTGGTTAATGTAACTAGCTTAACAAAGTACCTAGCATATAATTGGTCTGCAATACATGGAAGATTTTATTAGTAAAGCAGAAGCAACGGTGACTTCGAAGTCTAACTTTGTGTCAGTCATGCCACTTATGTCTCGGAAATCTAAGTTTCATATATACATAAAAACAGGGATAACAAGGCAATGCCTCACAAGTGAGAATTAACAGGGTTAACAAAACTGAGGTAAGTACAAGAAGACCAGTACATAACTGATCAATTCTTTACAACTGAGAAGGAAGCTGTCAAAATTTTGGAGTTTCAAGTTTCATGCCTTCTATACCTGGTATCCCACTCCTCTTTCAATGGGTATGAGTAGTAGGAGAGCTGGGTTTGTATCATTGCCCCAAAGGTGGGAAATGGGATGAGGAACTCGGGGTAATGTGAGAGCCAGTGGGTCTGTACCTCTACAGGTTGCACGCCCACAGTTTTCCGCCGCAGGCTCCCAGCCACCATCTCCTCCTCCTCCTCCTCCTCCTCCTCAACGCCGGGATTGAGCTCCGCTACAGTGGGCGCCGCAAAAAGGATCTCTAGGCTAGGACGGTTCCTTTTGCGTACTGACACCCGCCGGCGGATTCGGGAACCACCTTCATCCATGGCAGGAGCCCTGGCCGAACGACGTTCCGTGCCCCAGCAGCCGAACCAATGGAGGGGGGAGTTGAGGACAGAGCAACAGCAGCAACAGCGGCTAATGTCACTAGCCTCTCCATCCACCTTGGAGAGAGACAAATGGATTGCTCTCGGGCCGGAAGCGTAGCACGGACGTAGCAACGCGCCTTCTTGTCGTCCAATCATAAGTGTCGCGGGCTTTCGCGCGCCGAGAATGGGAGCGTAAAGGGGTTGCGCAAACGCACTGAAAACTCTTTTTTCGAATCCCGGGCGTCTACTGGCGGAACCTTTGACGGGAGTTCTCGAGCCTGCCGGGGAAGGGCACCGGAAAGGACTTTTGAGGACGGTTTAGAAACAGGAAAGGAAGAAGAGGACGTGGGAACCATGGCGTCTGTAGTTGCTGTTTGCAGTGGTTTAGGGAGGAAAAAATTGACGCACTTAACGGCCGCTGTCAGCCTGCCAAATCCCGGAACTCACGCTGGTAAAGTCTCCCTATCCTACGTTCGGTGTAGCACCTTAGCCGTTGCCTTAGCGCGAATTAGGTCGGTGGAGTCGCCACACGCCACAGTTAGCTAAGCGATGCTGGTTTCCAGGTTATGTCTCTCCAAGATAGGTGAGGATATGTAATAGCCCATGACTAGTACTTTAAAGTTTAAGGGGCGTGAGGTGTTGTCCGTGCTGGAGAGTAATGGGATTACTATTAAAAAGAGGCAGGGACTTGCCTAAGATCTCCGGGTAAGCTTGGTAAGGAAGGGACATTTACAGCAGCAGCAGCAGCAGCAGCAGCAAATTCCAGATGACAGAGGCCCCAAATCAGGGCGAAATTGTGACATAGGTCATCGAATTTCTCATTTCTGCACTTTTATCTTCTGTGGGCTTTTATATCAATAACTACTCTCTGTAGAGAGTCGGCTACTCATTTTCCTTTTGGTATGACAATGCGCTTCTCTTGCTTTCTCCCTAAGTATTTGCATTAACAGTGTATTTCTAACCATGGAGTGAAGGAAAATAAATACTGGAAGAGAACACATGAGAAATTGTTCAAATGGGTGTGCAAATGGTGTATATGCCCTTTTTCCAAAGCCCTGGAAAGCACATCCATATTGACTTACTCTGCCTCAAATCTAAAGGTTTTTATCCAATTATTGTGTGTATAATGAATGTAAAACCTGTCTTTTATATTCAGGTGTCTTTAATTTTATGTCCCTTCATTTTACCTCCGTAAAAACAATTTATTTGTTACTCAACTAACAAAGAGAATTAGCTTGTTGCTGTTTCTGTTTAATTGCAGTGCTATGGAGAAGGTGTTCACAGTATCAACAGGTAACCATCAATGAGGACCTGGTAAGAGTTTTTTTCTTCCTTTTTATAAAACATTTGCAAATATGACCAAATTCTTATATTTTAGCTATTTGAAGATTTCAACTGGAGGACAAAACAATAATTAGTCTCAGTTTGAAAGTTATAATTCATTGCTGAGAAGTCACTTGAGTTTTGAAGATAATTCTTAGATTCCTAGCAAGAAGCATGGCTTCTTGTAATACCACATTTTTCTTCCTAGGTCTTAAATTTAAGGATATGTGCTTTGGGAATTAAAACAGGTTGTGGTGGGGTGGTAGAGGGGTGGGTGGTGAAAATCCAACAAAGGCATTGTACAAAAGCTTACTTACAGGTTGGATCTTTTCCCATATCAAATTCAATTTTATTTTTGTTCCATTCATCACTTTTGGGGGGAGGGTGTCTTAACAAATGAGAGATCAAAATGAAAGCTTCATACCTGTACATGTAGATGTAGTTCTACGGATTTTAAGTACTAGGAACTGGATTTGGGCCATATAGATTTTCTTGCTACTTGCAAAGATATTTTGACACTAATCAGACCATACAAAGCACTTAGTACAGTGAAGGGAAGGATTATAGTCGGTCAGTACACATGAGCTGAATATAAATTGGTTTAAGAAAGTATGAGGATTTGAAAAAAAATAACTAGTCTTCTGAGCTTCTGGCTTGGTTATTCAATTCACACCATACTTCAAGGGAAGAAAGGAATTACTAGAGCTTCTTTATAGGTTATAAACCCCACTGAGACGCTAATGAAAGCTATGGGGCTCTTTCAGAAAAAGGCACACAGTCCCACTCATTTGAAATTTTACCTATAACTACAGGGGTTCAAGGACTTCAAAGCCATTTCTAGATTAAGAATCTCTAGAATGGAGATGCCAATAGTCATTGTATGGAGGAAGCATTGTGACAGAGAGAGACAATGGAAAGGAAAAGGAAGAATCTCAAGCTGACACAAACTTATAAAGAAGTCTGGGAGCCATAAAATTATAATCAGTGGGCCTTATTATATTAAGCCATGGGTTCACTGTCTTTTTTTAATTTTAAGATTTTATTCATTTATTTTTAGAGAGGGGGGAGAGGAGGGAGAAAGAGGGGGAGAAAAACATCCATGTGTGAGAGATACATCAGTTGGTTGCCTCTCACACGGCCCCAACTAGGGACCTGGCCCGCATCCCAGAAATGTGTCCTGAGAGTCAACTGGTGACCCTTTGATTCTCAGGTGGGCACTCAGTCCACTGAGCCACAGCCCCCAGAGCTCATTAATTTTTGGTAACAAAAGTAATGATAAAACATCTGATAGAGAAATATGGGGATGGATTTAAGAATTAATACGAACTTAACCAGTGCAATGGAATCTGTTTTGCTATAAGATCTTTCAAATTTAAATCTAAGTTAAGAATTTTTAGCACTGACCTGGTAACTCAGTTGGTTAGAGCATCATGCCAACATACCAGGGTTGCAGGTTTGATCTCCATAAGGGCACATACAAGAAACAACCAATGAATGTATCAGTGGGTGGAACATCAAATTGATGTGTTTCTCTCTCTCAAACTCAATTAAAAAAAAGAATTTTTAGTTAACCTGGACAAAAACATTTGAGGAATTAGTGCAGATTTGATTTTTTTCTCCCATGAACCCTTTTTTTCCTCCAAAGATTGTATTTTATCCTAGAACCTCCATGACTTGATTCCTCCTTAGCCAAACCAAAACAAGATAACTTGCACAAAACTTGAACAAGCAGTGAAATCTTTATAATGGTGAATCCTTTTCAGAAGTACTTTTTTCTTTTGCAAGCCAAAATGTTGTATTTATTCCTTCTCATAGTAAGAAAGACAGACTAATCCTTTGGATAGATTTAAATGTGGTAGCCTTAAGGTTTAAGGGGTTTTTTTTGATTCAAGTTTCACATATTAAACTTTTGTTGTCATATTTTTTCCCTTTATCCTAGCCTGTTCCAATGGAAAATCCTTATAAGGAGCCTCTTAAAAAATGTATCTTATGTGGAAAACGTGTAGATTATAAGAATGTACAGGTGAGATCTGGTTTTACCTCACTATACTTCATTCTAGCATTTTGCTTCTTTATTAGTCCTAATTAAAGAGAATCAAGTCAGTTTTATAACAGACTGTGCAGGGGCAGCTGTTTTAGCAACATTGCAATTGCAAATCTGGTTATATTTCTATGTATAAGGCATCTCTATTTTATTCTAATAATAGCCCACTATGGCATGTGGAGGTGAGTAGTTTGGAGAAAGCTCCTCTGGTGAAGTTGATTACTGCACCTCACTGACATCACTGCTTCAAATACAATTTTATCTGTTCTACAGCTCTCAGCAAGTTAAGTGGCAAATCTGGGGTAAGAGAATGATGGTGGAGTTAAGTATACTGACAACAGAATAAAGTGATAGCTGACTTAAAGGCAGAAAAACCAAGACATAGGAGGATTATACACAGTGGCAAGAATGCTGCCCGGATCCTGAGAAGTGCTAAAGAATTTAAATGATATGTAATTACAGCAAATTACCTGATATACCCATACCTCTTAAGGACCTTACTGTAATTTGGTATTATGTGACAGCCTATCATGACAGATGAAATGTTTAGTACTTTGTTGTAAGCAGCAGTATGTTAGAAGAGTGTCTCTAAAAAGAGTCAAGAAAACAGTTTTAGCACTGAAAGAATATGTTCGTTAATTTGTTGTACAGACTTTTGAACAGACTGGGTAAGAGATATTAACTTTAATAATTATGTTAGTTATTTTGAAAGGTGACCAATTAATAGGATGAGCATAGTTCAATATTTCTCATATGACATTTGACTGGAATTAATAAACTTTCTATAACTTGGAAGTTGACATGAGGTATGCTTTTTGAAATGTGTGCAATGAAGGGAGTAACACATGTATTAACGTAAATTTGTTTTCCTCTAAATGAAACTCCAACAGCTTTTGTCTCAGTTTATTTCTCCATTTACTGGATGCATTCATGGAAGGCACATAACAGGTATTTTGTTTTGTCTTACAGTTAATTTAAATAATTTTATTTAAGAAAACTGGCAAGTTAGTGTTCTATCCAATTCTGTAACTTTGATGTATAAATTGGTTCTTTCGTTTCAGCAGTGATATGAGGATAACTTGTAAATTTTCTGAAATCTAGTCATCTCTTTTTGCTCAGTGTCTTCCAAGAAATGTAGAAAGAGGATTTGTTCTAAGGAAACAAGGCAGATGCTGTTTTCCTCTTCAGAGGCAACCAGTGTTCAGTGTCTTATACATCCTTCCAGACAATTTATTGCATTAGGAAGCAATGACATAGATATTTCCTGATTTTATATAAATGAGACATATCATACATACTCCTCTTTTGCTGTGCTTTGTAAACTTAGAGAGCTTTTCAAATCAGTACAAAGGGGCCTTAGTCTTTCTAATAGCTGTATAGTGTATCATTGTAGAGATATACCCTAATGTCTTATCACTTCCTTATTCATGGGCATCTAGGTATTTTTCAGTTTTTCTCATTTAGGAACCAGGTGTATAAACTATTTCTGTATATACAGAATGTTGTAATTGAGAGAGTATGAAAAATGGCCCAGAAGTGGACTCAAGTTTGAGGAATATGTATTCAGAATTTTGATAGGTGTTGCCATATTTTTTCCCATAGGGCCCACAGAGGTATTCCCCACTCAGTGTAGACTCGTCAGTACCTGTGCCTTTGCTTTTCTTCATTAGGGTGACTTTTCTTTTTAGGTTTGTGTGCTGTAATTGCTGAAAAATTATTTCTTGGCATAGATTTTGTGTTCTACTTATTTAATGACTTCCTTGAATATTATTGAATTTATGAAAGCCATCCTTACTGTTAATAAAAATATTTTCTTTAATTTTTAATATATACTAGGTGTTATAACCCTCATTCTTTTTCAGAGTTTTCCTGGCTATTCTTGCTTATTATTATATATAAAGTTGAGAATTGGCATTTACACTTTTGATGGGGGGGGGCAATCTTTGAAATCACTTTAAATGTATAGATACCCCTAAGGAGAGTTGAAAAAAAAAACAACTGGCAAATTTTCAAATAGTGCTATAAGTCACTATTAGAAAGCTTACTATTTAAGAAAGCATCTTAGTCCAAAAGGGTATTATTTTACATGCCTTCTTATTATCACAGGTAACTATAAGTTGACAATGTGTAGAAAATCTGGGCTTAAAAAGTTGTATTGGTATTCTGGTGTATACTATAATTACTCCTAGACTATTATTTATAAACAGGGGACTATTTCCCATAGGCTACATTGGATCTGCCACTTATTTTTGCAAGTAGCTCAGTTTATATGGCATCCGTAGCTGGCTGCTTTGTGCAATAAAAGAATAGAGAAGTTATGATAGAGACTGTATTGCATGCAAAGCTAAAAATATTATCTGGCTCTTTACAGGTTTCCCAACCCTTCCTTTACTTAGACAATTGTTATACATTTTGAATATTGGCATTTTTATATGAATAAGAAAGAATTTTATTTTATAGGTCTTTGTGGGAAGAAACAAAAAGAAATCACAAAAGCAATTAAGAGAGCTCAAATAATGGGTAAGAGCATCTGAAAAAGTGACTTGAGCTAATCAAAATTTTGCCTGTTTTCTTTGGTAAAGAATTTTAATTATCTCTTTACAGGGTTTATGCCAGTTACATACAAGGATCCTGTGTACCTCAAAGATCCTAAAGTTTGTAACATCAAATATCGGGAATAAATTGTATAAAGTTATCATCAATAAACTTATTTTAAAATAAATTGTTGACTCAAAGATTTAATAACCTTTAGAAAATTAGTATGCTAAAGTAAATCTTATTCAACTGTATTGTCTCTAGCTCTTAATACAAAATCTTACAAGGAAAAAGTGTTTTAGGAGTAAAGAGGTATTTCCTATCCACACAAATGAATCTTCATTAAATAAAACCAGGTTATTTTAAGTGTTAATAGTGGTTACATTTACATACATATGAATAAAAAAATTGGTACTGTAGCACTGTCACTTATATCTGGTCTACAAATAGCCTATACAATAATAGACTGCTGATGTGGCAGACCCTGGCCAGCAGAGTCTGCCTGTTGTGGTTGACGGTGAGAATGAATGCGCAGGCAATAACAATCCTGTGGAGAAAAGGAACAGGCATGACTACTCTCTCAAGGGGAGAGTGCCTATGGGTGCCTTGGCACTTGCCTAGACAGGCTTTTACTGTTTTCCTGGAATCTTACATCAGAGAAAGATTTATTTATTACATAGAATATTACTGTCTACATTTTAGGTACAATCAAGAAAATGAAAATAACATGCAGAGAGGAATGGCAATGAGCTGATTAGCTCTGTCCTTGGCAGAATTCATACAGGCTTTGGAAATAACCTTGAAGATAGACAATACATATCTGTTGTTTTAGACTGGGGTGATGGAGTTTTAGCAAGAGCAAGCTATAACAACCTGTATGCATTTTTCTAGGCCTGATTCCCACAGGAAAACTCAGTTTAAGGTCTGGCTCCTGCCCACCACTTCTGTAGGTTTTCCATACAGAGCTGAGTCGCATTTGCCAAGCCAAAACAAAATGGTCCCCTACATGCTGATAATGGGATGTTAAATGTGGAAGGGATGGCTTGTATTGGGATTTTACTTTAGGTACAGGTTCTGTTTTGTAAGTGGGATTTTAGGGATTTGGGTACAGGAAGGTTAAATGCTTGTATAATGTACAATTCCAATGTGACAGGGTGTGGACCTGAAATTGCTCAGGGAGATCTTGTAACTAACAAATAGAGGTATACTTGTCTAGCGCAGTACATCTTCCCTTTGTAAAGATGTTACATTGGCTAGATAGTGGTCCTATCACAGGACCTAACATTTTTTCCTAGTCTAGTCTATCCTTGAACTGGTAGAATCCTTTAAATAAACTGATCTATAGGCCTTGAACTGGTAGAATCCTTTAAATAAACTGATCTATAGGCAATCTATTATGTCATTGCCTAAAGATGGAGAAAAACTGGAGTCCTTCCTGGATGGACTCTCTCCTTTTCATTAAATACCCTGAATGTTCGGTCATCAAACTCAATTGTGGAAATTCAGCTGTGTAATGACCTGAGCAAGCTCCTTTAATCAAAAGTTCAGTATTGCTTTCTTCAAAGGACATGTATTACTATGCAACAGTATGCGCTAAATGCTTTTGTACCTCTATGGCATTTTAGCCAATTGAACTTTACATGGAGACACATTGAGACTTCATCTGAGTAAATATGTAGGATTGTTGAAAAATCTTAAGCTATTATCTAAAGAAGACATTTGCATGTATGTTGCCTATCCGTTGCCTCTAACATTCTTAATCTAGTCCATGTGTCTAGTTTTGTTCATTTGTTGGTTACATTTAGTCATTATGTTTTATATGCTCTGGTGCTGTTTGCAGTTACTTTTTAATAGGGTTCATACTGACAACCTATTTCCCCTCCTGCCCTCCACCAACATCACAGTGCTTCTTACGTAATCAGACAATCCCAGAAGAAACTCATTGTTTGTAAAATTGTCTGATATTACACGGGCTTCAATAAGCACCCCATGGTAACTAATGCATGTTAACATAGATAAAAGATAATTTTTATAGTAGCTACAAATTTGCTCTATTAGGAAGAAACAGATGGAAAAGAAGTAGTCAAAGTGTGTTCAGCATTTCATCCAGTGAGTGAAAAGTGAAGGCTTCATGTGGAAATTCTCACAATTATGAAAAAGATAAATACACAAAAACACAAAGAGCTCTTATGCAAGCTCCACTTAACCAACTCATTAAACTGGGTTAAACTACATTAAACATTCTTCCTAAAACTCGTGTTGAAGCCCATGACTTTCCTATGTGAGTCTACACTGCCAAGAAGCAGCTATTTTGTTCCTGTATCTGTTAATTGTATTTGTTATTGTATTGATGAAAATGAGCATTAAAAAGCAAGTTACTGTTGCAATAAAAACTAAGTAAATGCTTTGGAAGGACAATAAAATAGCTTTAAAAAAATAGTTGTCAAATTAGGTGTAGTTAGGACAACTGAGTAATATTGGAAATGAGAGGCTGCTGTGAAATGTAGAAAGCACAGTAGCATTTTGTACTTCACTTTACAGAATCCAAACTATTTGTGCTGCATTATAGTCATGGCATAATTAGAACTGCCAGATTTAGCAAGTAAAACTACTTACTTGGGACATATAAATGTGAATTTCACATAAACAATTTTTAACTACAAGTATGTCCCTAGCATTGTATAGTGTTCAGAATTTTATCTGGCAACCCTAGTCATAATGTACTATTTATCATAACAAGTTGGAATTGCAATGACTTAGAAAAAATAAGTATTCATATTAACTTTCCCAATGCTAAAGAATGCTGTACAAGTTAAAAAGACTATCTATCTAGACTTTCCCTCAATAGTTTAGTAAAAGGGACAAAAAAGGTTTTGGTTTTAAAAGTACTTTATAAAATAAATGCACTAGAAATTTATGTATGAGTGCAAACAGCTGTACATAGAACAATATAAATATTTGGCTTTACCCTTCAGCCAATCAAAATCTTTTGGCATAAAAGGATCAGAATGTGGGAGATTGTGGATAGTCATCAGAATCCTTCATCTTCTCAATTTCCTCATCTGTTTCTGGGCTGCTTGTGGATGCTTTTTCTTGGTTACTACTATCAGTATCTGTTTTAGATGGTTTGTTTTCTATCTCTAACAGCCGTGACTTCTTGAATTGCCATCTGTCATCTGTATCTAAAGCTTTGCGCTTCATCACTTGCTGTGCACTACTAGCTGGACTAGCTTCAGGAGTATCAGTGTATTTTACCATTAGAGTCAGGCTGTTTACCACACTGAGTTGGTGGTTGGTATTACAGCTACTTTCCAAAATATGTCTATTTTTCAAGGAGATAACACATGAATGAAGAAATTCACAATCTGGAAAAAAGGTCTGTAAAGCTTGGCAAAGAAAAAGGTTCTCCTGAGGGTCTTTTTGGACGTTCTTCTCTCCTAAACAAAATAAAATAACAGTTCAATATACAATATTTCTACAAAGGTTTTACAATTATGTATTTGCTAGTAAAGTTGAGTCAAAAACAGTTAATTTTGTCAAATTCTCTAACCTGAGAAAAATAACTGGCATAATCCCAAATTACAATTTATATGCCATAATATTCTAAGAGAACATTATAAATTCTTTAATAACTACACCTATAATGTTCCTTGTTCAGTGGGATTTAAGAGTATGTAAGATAATTACTTTTAGTCTTAAGGTGGACAAATTCATCAGTGCACTTTGCTCATCTATAATTCAAATCAGAATTTTTTTTTAGGTACAGAAAGTAGTGATGTGTAAAATTTTTACTTACGTGCTGCTTGAATCTGTGCTTGTTTCCTTTTTTTAATTTCTCGTTTTAATCTGTTCACATCCTTTAGTAGTTTCTCTACTGCTTCCTCACTGTGTTCTACTTTTTTACATATCCTCTGCAAAATAAAATAATTTAAGGGTATAGATAAAATTCCAAGTTCTGTACTACCATCTGGTTTGCAGGTCACTGCTCAATCCACTAAGCCACAGCAGCCAGGCATTTTGTTAGTTGTTGACTGTTAAGTCTCTCTTACCTTGTACTACCATCTGGATTCAAGAATAATATAAAATCCTTCATGGTACATAATATCAAATATTACTTGCTTTTTTTTAAAAAAAATTTACTTTTAGAGAGGGGAAGAGAGGGAGAAAGAGAGAAAAACATCAATGTTTGGTTGCCTCTTGTATGACCCCTACTGGGGACCTGGTCTGCAACTCAGGCATGTGCAACTCAGAATCAAACTGGTGACCTTTTGGTTCTCAGGACCTTTTGGAGCTCAATCCACTGAGCCATCAACCAGGGCTATCAGCTCTTTGTAAAACTTTAATTTTGCTATTTTATACCTATAGAGCATTTGTATGGTGCTTAATGGGTACAAAATGTTTTCCAGATATATTAACTTCCCATTTATATAACAGCTTTATCATACCAGTTTTTTCCTTGATAATACATAGAAATATTTAATTTGGTTTGAAACAAAAAGCATTATACTATTTTGAGAGGTGCACAGTTAATGCAGATATTTAACATTAAAGAAAAGACACATTTTACTGTTATGAAAGAATTTCATACAGGAATTTCATTCCTATAAAAGAAATTACTTTTGAAAAGCACACTAATCTCATGTGTAATCAGTTTGAAGCACTAATGCCCTTTGACTCAGTGATTTCATTTTGGGAATGTAACTTAACAAAATATAAATAATAAAATGTCTTTTAGTATATCAATTCAAAAGTAATTACTTTCTAATTGTGGGGTAAAGGGTTGTTATAGCCAACCTTTTATTTTAGTGGATACTTTTAGAGATGCCTACTCAGCATCTTTATCATGAATTTGTTCACCTTGCCAGGATTAACAAATAATCTTTTCACCAACTTCATCCTAGTTTACCCAAGCAGAGATAATACATAGCAGATCAGGAAACCCTACTCTCTTGAATAGAAGAGATCTAACTGTAGTTGTGAGTTAGCCATTCTCTGGTCAGCCAGTGGATGAATAAACAAAGATCCGTAGATACTATGAAGGAACCCAATGTGCAGACATGGGGGAGAGAGAAGGTTGTGATGACATTCTAGATCCTGGTTCCAATTCATTCTGGAAACTCAGCTGCTTTCTGCCTACAGTTACTGTAACATACCTCCGTACATTCCCTATTTTAGTTCAAGTTATACTTTTAACATAAGAGTTGTAATGTACTATTCTATAAAATACGCAGCCATTAAAAAGAACAAAATATGGAGGCAAGATGGAGGAGTGACAGAAGCCACACTAGCCTCCTCCAGGACCAACTGAATTACAACTAAATTGTGGAGAAATCAACCTGAACAAAACAACTAACTATAATGGTGAGAAAGAAGCCTTATAACCTGGCACAGACAGAAGAATCAGCTTTGGCACAACCTGACTGCAACTGCACAACAACATATAAGACGTGGTGGGTGGAGTGATCCTTGGTCAACCAGCTGGAGGGAAGGACCCACCTAAGAACAACGCAACAACAATCAAAACCTAATTACACCCAGAGAGGCAACATAAATGGCATAAAGGGCATCCCGAGAGCATCAAGTTCAAGAGATCAAGGAGAAGGCACCACTGAATCTCACAGGTTTCCTACCATAGAAGTCCACACTACAAAGTCAGGCAGTCAAAATATAATAATTTAAGAAGCAGAAACAAACAAGAAGAGTCTGACAAATAATGGAAAGACAAACAAACAATCCCTAATCAAAAGGAAAGGAGGAATCCTCAGAAAGAATGCTAAATTAAATAGAGGCAAGTAAACTATCAGATATTGAGTTCAAAGAAATGGTTATAAGGAAGCTGAATAAACTTAGTGAGAATTACCAAAACTATAGGGAAGCTAAAAGGAACTAACTTCAAACTATAACAGCATGAAAAAGGACATAAAAACTATCAATAAGAGCCAGGAAGAAATGAAGAATACAAATTCTGAATGAAAGAACAAAGTAGAAAGAATCAAAATCAGGCTAGATGAATCAAGAGGACTGAATCAGGGAGCTGGATGACAAGGTAGATAAACTCCCAGAAATAGCAAGAAAAGGAAAAAATACTCAGAATGAAGAGGGGTAAGAGAAATGCAGAACAACATGAAACGTAATAATACCCATATGATAGGGATACCAGAAAGAGAAGAGGAGCAAGGGATAGAGAACGTGAATGAAAACAGAATGATGGAAAACTTCCCTAATTTGATGAGAGAAAAAGTCACACAAATCCAGGAAGCAGAGAGGGTCCCAATCAAGAGGAAACTAAAGAGGCCTACTCTAAGACACATCATAAAAAGACAAAATTCCAAGACAAAGAGAGAATCTCAAAGGCAGCAAGGGAGAAACAAGAAGTAACATACAAGGGAGCCCTGATAAGGCTAGCAGCTGACTTCTCAAAAGAAACACTACAGAGGAGGAAGATGGCAGTGGAGTAGGACAAAGGATTTCACTTCCCTCCACGAACTGGAGAAAAACTGGGCTGATCTGCGGAGAAGCACAGTGGACAGCCAACAGGGACGCAGCATACAGGAAGGTAGGACGCTGCTCCAGAAATTGGAGCAGACTCTGAATGACCAGAAGGTAAGCAGAGTCGGCTGGTCAATAAGGTCCCAGGGAACGGCGCAGAGGCCGCAGGCCCTCCGCTGGGCTGCGCCAGGGCCTGGTTGGTGCACCTCAGTCTCTGGGAGCCAAGGGCTGGCTCAAGGACATTGGGAGAGAGCCAGTCACCAGCTCCCTCCCTACCCAGCCGGGCGCAGTTTGAAAAACGCCGAGCGGGATCTGTTTGCTTGGAGTATAAGGGAGAGGAGTGAGTATGAAGAAACAAAACAGAGAGCTTTGATCACACGTGGGGTCTGTGGACGCTGGCTTGGAAGAACTGAGTCACCCTTGCATCCCCTGTTGCACTGGGCCTGGGCCGGGTCTGGTGGGTCTGCTGCGGACTCTGGGAGCTGGAAGCCGAGGGCTGGCTGCAAGGCCCCTGGGAGAGAGTCAGTCATCAGCTCCCTCCCTCCTTCCCTCCCTCCCCCCCCAGCCTGGCGCAGTTTGAAAAATGCCAGGAGAGATCTGTATGCTTGGATTGTCAGAGAGAGGAGTGGGTATGAAGAAGCAAATCACAGACTGATCACACCTGGAGTCTGTGCTCGCCAGCTTGGGAGAATTGAGAGTCGCCTTTGCGATCCCACATAGCACTGGGAAGGGTTTGCACCTAGGCCGGCAGGACCAGAGAAGCCTGGCCAGGAATGCAGGTCCACACCCCAGGCCAGGACTGTGAATCCTGGGAAAAGTCTGTTCTCAGTGAGGCGCTGAGGAGAGGATTTTGGGAGAGCAAATGTGAGACTGGCTGAGTTCACCCAGAAGGGAGAAAGGCGCACCTAATAGACTCTCAGACTGCTGCAGCTAGTGTGACCAGAAAAAAAGGCTTGACCAGCTGGAAACCAACAGGAGGTTTTTTTCTTTGTTTGTTTTTAATAATCTTTTATTTTTTAACTTTATTATTGTTTTACCTATCAATACTTTTCCCCCTCTCTCTTCTTGTTTCTTGTTTTATTCCTTCTTCCCAAACCTACCACTTTCTCCTCCCATTTGCTGCTTTTTTTCCTTTCTTTTTAACCCCCTCCCCCCCAAGTGAGACAAAAGACTTGGAACAGCGAAAAGACCAGAGTTGGACTCAAAGAGGGGGCATCCCAACAGTAGAGACAGAGAGTCAAAATCACTTTGATATAACCGAAAAACTACAAGTTACTGCATATTTGAATTTTTCACTGTTTTTTTCATTATTATTACATCTTTTATTTTAATAGTATCTCTGTATTCTTCCTGTTTCTGTATAGTGTTCTTTACTTTGGCTCAATATATTGTATCACTTGACACGTTTCCCTGGTCCCCTCAACTATAGTGTATTGCTAATTTACTGTCCTTTACTTCCCCTTGCCCAGTTAGCAAACTATTGAAAGCCCAACACCCCCTAATCTTGGCATATCATAGATTCTATAGTATGATTATTGCTCTAATATTATTGTAAATAATAGTTGTTGCATGCTGTTGTAAATGCTATACAACACCCCCCTCCCAGATCTTAGCTCACTTCATTGTTGCCTGAACTATAATACTGCAGTGGTTGACTCTGTTCCCTCTCACACTACACCTATTTACCATCCCTTATTCTCACCTTACCTCACAATCTGGCCTCCCTCAACCTCACTCCTATCTGGATCCAAATCACAAGCCTTCTCTCCCCAACAAGAGCCTTATTTCCTTCCTTCGTTCTGAAAAGTGGCTAGGTGGGTTGAAGATTACAGTTGTTCCTGTACATAGTCGGGGGAGCACCTATCTCTTCTTTACCGGCTGCTACTGTAAATATCATAGAATACTCTCCTGCTGTCATAAACCAGTTTGCCTTCCCCTCCAACTGATCACACACACACACAAAAGAGTGGGTGGAAACGGTGAATACCAGGATACCCAAAGGAAGAAGAAACCCAACAACAAAGGAACTACCAACAGATAACAACAGAGGAAGGTGAAGGAGGGAGTAGGAACCACACAAACCTCAACCCAACACCTACCTGGAAATACAACTAAACAGCGGAGAAACTTCCCAGGGCAAACAACTGAACAAGAGCAAAATACAATCTTCAAAACCTGGTATGTGCAGAAGAACTAGATTCAACACAACCCGTCCTCGCCAGCACAGCAAATTAAAATGGGTAGAGCACAGAGGGACCATCAGTTCACCAGCCTGTGGGAAGGACCCACAAAAAAGACCCAGAAACAACAGAAACCCAAAGACAAACTCAGAGCCAATGTAAAGGACAGCCCAAGACCAGCGATCTGGGGAGATCAAGGAGACTACACCACTGAATCTCACAGGTATTATACCACAGAAGTG